CATGCTGATAAAAGAAATTAAACAATAGATGAAGCACATTTAACAAAAGTTAATACACACACACACACACACACACACACACACATATATATGTACACATATGTGTATATATATTATTTTTTGTATTGTTTTGTGCAAGGCTTTGCAGGAACATGTCTGAATCTTACAAAGCCGTCATACAAAGTGGGGTTTGATGCAAACTTAGATCCTATTTTAATCTTCCCACTTTCAGGACCAACTACCTTTTTTTACAACCCTTTAACCCCTATTTGGGGTAAGGGCACTGGATGGAGCTGAGCATTTATTGGAAAGATGCCCTTCCTGACACCACACGGAGTTCACAGCAGATATTTTTTCTCTGCACACCAGGAAAGAAACATTTATCGCTATCTAGAATTGAATTCTCAACCTAATGCTCACCCATTCTTCTCATTTTTATGGCAATCGAATATTGGCAATCAGGGATAAAAGTGATGTTGATGATTTGTGGTAAAGAATTGATATCCTGGATGCAGTCTGCTTCCTTCATCTCTGATTCTCTCAAAATTAGCTTGCAGAGCCTGCAGTCCTTGGGCCACACGTGCAGATCCTGGCATACCAGACTGTAAACAACCATGTCCCTGCAAACACTCGGTGCGAAGTGGCCGGCTGGGGCATTACCCGCAATACGGGAAAGAAAACAGACAGGCTGCAGTTTGTGCAACTTGGCATCATCGCTCGAAATCAATGCAATATGAGGAGATACCATGATGGGAGCGTGACAGAGAACATGATGTGTGCTGAATCAAGAAAAAAAGACTCCTGCAAGGTGATCACAGGGCTGGTGGAAGGAGGGAAAAAAGAGGAAGGTTACAAAACTATTCTGGGCTGAAGCAGAATCTTGGAAACTGTAAGAGTGAATTCTCAGCCAAAGTTTCAGTGAGTTAATTAAGGCTTCCTATTGCCCTAAACTCTGCCACCTATTTTCATGTAAACCATATTCTTCATTCCCCACTTTCTTTCCATGGCCTCTCACACCCAGTTATTTGATTGAGACTTGTTCAGGATAAACTGCCTTCAACATGGATGCTCTACTGCAGGTAGCAAGCCTGCCAGATCTCACTAACCACCCCCAGGCTGCACATGATATCCAACCATACTTTATGTTTATGTGGCCCTGGGCTAATTTTCTCTCTCTATTAACGTATATTTACAGTCTCTCTCTCTCTCTCTCTCTCTCTCTCTCTCTCTCTCTCTCTCTCTATATATATATATATATATATATATAATATATATATAGATATATATATTATATATATATATATATTATATATATATTATTATTATTATTATTAATCATCGCATAGTCAGCCAGATGTTCAGACTGGATTTGGCATTTTTGTCCACCTATCGAGTCTTTACCAAGGACCTGGGATAGGCAGATGTGGATGTTTGACAGTATTACAGATATCGTCGCAGGATGGAAGCAGTTCCTAGTAAGGCCGCCTTTTGCAATTGACTAATGGCAAATTTGTCAATGCCAATGGTGTTCAAGTGGTGCTCCAGTTGTTTTGGGATTGCACCCAAGGCGCCTATTACTATTGGTACTACCCTTGCTTGCCTTTGCCACAGTCTTTCTATTTTTATTTGTAGGTCTTTGTATTTTGTTATCTTCTCCAGTTCTTTCTTGTCTATTCTGTCTCCAGGCACTGCCACGTCCAGACTTTTTTGTCTTTCTTATTGACAATTGTTAAGTCTGGGGTGTTATGTTGCAGGTGCTTGTCTGTTTGAATTCTGAAGTCCCAGAGCAGTTTAATTTTATCATTTTCTATGACTTTCTCTATTTTATGATCCACCTGCTGCTTGCAGTCAGTCTGTGCGATCTTCTTGCAGCAGCTTACCAAGTGGTCCACTGTTTCTTCAGCTTCTTTGCGTAGGCGGCACTTACTGTCTGTTGCTGTCTTCTCAATTTTGACTTTGTATGCATTTGTCCTTAAGGCTTAGTCTTGTGTAACCAGAATTAGTCCCTTGTTCTCTTTCTTCAATTTTCCTGCTCTTAGCCATTGCCAGGTCTTATTATCTGCCTTCCCAGCTTTTTTTTTTAATGTACTGGCCATGTAGTGCTTTGTCTTCCCATGCTTCTATTCTGTTCTTCATTTGGTCTTTCTTGTAGGCCAGTTGGGTCTCTCCACTAGTCAGTAAGCCTTCCTGAAATACTAATTTCAGTGCATCTTCATCATTGTCCTTCAGATAGTCTTCCAAAGCCATTTTTTCTTCTTCAACCATCTGATGTACTTGCAGCATTCCACGCTCACCTTGGTAGATAGAGTCTGTCAATGTCACTGCGTGGATGAAGGGCATGATTCATTGTCATTGACAGACTCTATCTACCAAGACAAACAGGTAGGCGTGTTATTATTATTATTGTTGTTATTACTATTATTACTATTATTATTATTATTACTATTAAATATTTTCTTTACCACATCTTTACAAAGTAGGTCAGTGATAGGAATAGATGGAAAATCTCATGGGAGGTGAGATTTGAAGCAAGGTATTACTAATAATGGTAATATTAAAACTGGGACTGACTCTGATTTGCTTCTCAGGGAGATTCTGGTGGACCTATTGTTTGCAATGGCATTGCTGAAGGCATCGTGACCACTGGCTCCACTATTTGCGGCAATGAGAGGAAACCTGGCATTTACACCCGGACCGCGCCTTACGTCTCATGGATCAACAGCACCATAGCAGCCAACAATTAAGTCATAGGACGGACTGCTTGATAGCTCTCCTTGCTGAGGCTTCTAGATGCAAAGGGGGATGACCTTTGGATGACAAATGGACAACCCTTTGTTTGAAATGATATGTTTCCTGCCTGTCTTCTAGTGGTTGGACTAGATGACCTCCAAATTCTCTTCCAGCACAGTTATTCTGTTCTCCCAAGAGGTTCAGAAAGGAACCTCCTTCTCTTATGGAGATGGGCTCAGCTTCTTTCTTTTCTTTTTATAAAGGGGCACTTATAAATCAACCAGCAATACTTACCAAGGACTGTTGCCAGTTTGCAAAAAAATAAATGGAATGCAGATGCTGCTGCTTTTATCGTTATTTAAGATTCAGAGAGACTGGAATTCCAATCCTCATGATATCCCTCTTCCCAATCTTTTATTTAAGTGGTGACTAACTTCAGAACATGGTTTTGTGTGCTAGATTTACTGGCCTCCAAGTTCTGAGTATAATTCCTGACATCTTCAAAGTGGACCAGGACAGGAAACCCTGGAGAATTCCTGGCAATAAATGCAAATCGTACTAAATCATACCTGTTGGGCAACTCTGGGAGTTGAAGCCCACACACCTTAAAGTTGTCATCTTAAAGTCAGAATAATTCTAATTCATATGCTATATCAGTGTTTCTCAATCTTAGCAACTTTAATATGCGTGGTTTTCAACTCCCACAATTCTCCAGCCAGCCATGCTGATGTACTGCTGTAAATGGCTGAGAAGTTGGTCCAAAATTTCTGAAGAGAGCTAGATTATTTTTGCAATACAGTTGCCTGTTGCTTTAAATTACAGATAGCCCTTGACTTTCAACTGTTCGTTTAAAGACTTTGGGAACTGAGGATGCTCCATTGCTGGAGGTTTACAAAAACAGACTGAACAACTATTTGATTAGGATGGTATAAGGCAGGGACAGGCAACCTTGGCTCTTTTATGACTCACGGATTTCAACTCCCAGAATTCCTGAGCCAGCTGGCTCAGGAATTCTGGGAGTTGAAGTCCAAGAGTCATAAAAGAGCCAAGGTTGCCTACCCTTGGTATAAGGTCTCCTATCTTGAGCAAGAGTTTGGACTAGACCTCTTCCAGCCCTACGATTCTATATTTTATCACAGTTCAAAATCACAACAGCGTTGAAAAAAGTGACAACTGTACTTGCACTTATGACAGTTGCACATCCCTCAGGTCACATGATCACAATTCAGGCACTTGACAACTGGCTGCTCACATTTACTACCTGTTGCAGCATCCTGCAGTTACATCATATGATTTGTGACCCCCCCCCCTTTTTTTTTGCCAATTTCCGGCAAAAAACACCCACTGGGGAAGCTGAATTTCCTTAATGTCTGTAGTGATTCACTTAACAACCACCATAAAAATTCTTGTCAACTCTGGTCCAGCTTGACTTACAACTACAATGACTTAACAATGGAAATTCCAGTCTCAATTGTGGTCGTACGCTGGAGACTACGTGTATGTAAATGCAGCCCAGTTTGTCAGGCGGGATTACTGTATGTAGCAGTTTTCCAGAGGCAAGCAATGACTTCTATTTTCCACTAGAGGGTGCTCACATTCTGGAATCCAAACATCTTCTCTTCTGGTACTATCTCAAAAGAAAATCTCTTTACAATAAAAATGTCGTGGCTTCAAAATCTAAGGGATTGGTTTGGACAAAACTCAGCAGCACGTTTTCGTGAGGTTGCTGATAAAAACAGGATCGCCAACATGATCGCCAACGTCCGATAACAGATATGGCACAAGAAGAAGAAGAAGAAGAAGAAAAATGTAAAAGAAGTTTCTCTTTCTTTTAAAAAACAGAACAAATTTTAGCCACAGTTGCAGCTCAGGTTGGGTGCTGGCCTGATTTCCACCTGGAAATGAGACTGAAATTCATTTAGTTTACATTTAAATGTGAACTGACTTAAGGTTGCAAACAAATACCCAAATTGGAAATTAGGTATTATTAAAATGCAGTGTTCGCCAAATATTACAATACAGGAACATGAAAATGGAACCTGTTAGGAAAGACTCTATGTAAAATGCACATTTTATAGAAATATATACTATGAAAAAATATCTCTTTAACCATTCTGGTATTTTCCCCCTCCCTTTTTTATGCTTGTTGTCTTGGAAGGAAGGGAGGGATGGAAGAGTGTAATTATGGGTGCATGGGTGCTATAGAATCTTAGACTCGGGATTGGTATTTATTCATCATAAGATGATAAGATGATGAAAGATAAGATAAATGAGATGAGATAAGATTTATTGTTATTTTTTACTTTGGGCACACAGGCCCACATTAAAAATGAAATTTTGTTGCCCGCTCTCAAAGGAAAGTAAATATCTAACCATGCACATTACATAACACACATATGCAATATACAAACACATACATATATACCTACACCAGACATGTCAAACACATGGCCTGCGAAGGGCCCAGTTCCAGCTTGTAGGGCACCTGCCACCCCAGCTGTGGCCCCGGCTAACCCCAGCCCACCACAGCCGTAGCCCGGCTCACCCCAGCCCAGCCAGGCACTCCCATGGGAATGTTCACGGGAGGCGGTGAGTGCACAGGGGCCAGCGGTGACCGGAAGCAGCCGCAGCCCTCCAGTCCCTCAGCTGCCCATCAGCCAGCGCACCCCGGGATCCGAAGCCCGTGCAGTGCAGGTGGGTTTGAATGCTGTGGCTGCCAGGCCCGGCCACCAAGCAGCAGTCAGAGGCACAGGGGGAAGGCATGGGATCCAGATGTGCCGGGCAGCCAGCCAGCCAGCCAGCTGCCCACCCTACCCAGCCATGGTGGGTGAGGACAAAGACAGACAGTGGATGTGAGTGCTGTGGCCACTTGCCTGGCCCTCTAAGCGGCAGGCGGAGGCAGAGCTGGGGGGGGAGGCATGCGATCTGGCCTGCCAGATGTGCCAGGCAGATGTGCCAGGCCTCCTGCCCGCCGCCACACCCCCAACTGCCTTGGCAAATGGGAAGGGAGAAGCCCCACCATCCCTGTTCTGCCTGAGCCCAGCCCCAGAACTGCCCCACGCACAGTCCGGGCATCCCCCTGGAAGTGGGGTCAGATTGTGGGGTTCTGGTGCACCAGGAGCTTGAGGGGTGGGCAAGGCACCTGCCCCTCCACCACCCAGAACCCTTTGCTGCCATCCAGAGACCCCTGCACAGCCCAAGAGGGATGGCAATGCTCCTCCGGTGGACCAGGCTCCATTGTTTACCCAAATCCCGTCCCCTTCTGCTGAAGACTTCTAGATCCCCCCCAACCCCGCCAGCCCCCTACAGGTGCATTCCAACAGGATGTCGAGCTGGCCACGCCCATTCAGTCAGCCACACACCCCGTTTCCCCCCCTCCAAGGGCAAAATGCTCATGCGTCCCTTAATGAAATCGAATTTGACACTCCTGACCTACACCTATACATATATACATAATATATATTAATCGCTGTCCATCTTGAATACATAGTGGAAAGACGAAGCTTGAGGGTTCACAAGGCTGATGCTATTGGAACAAAATTGTGACTGAATCTGGATGTTCTGCTTCGGATACCACGGAGCCTCCTCCCCCCAGAAGGTAACAAGGAAAACAAGTCGTGAAGAGGATGTGTCATGTCCCAGATAGTCTTGGGGACCTGTTCAAGCAACGCTTATGTGCTATGTCCTTATGAGAATGCATATTACTAAGAACATGTTTTAAAATGTTATTTTCAAGTGATGTGACTTGAAAAACTTTCCCTGTAACCTAGAACACAATAGAGCTAAAGAACTATTGAGGAGAAACAGAAGAAAGCATTTAGAAAAGATCCACATTTTTGACAATGGATTTCAGCTGCAACCGTTGTAGATGCTGGTTGCCAAGCGTCTGAATTTTGATCACATGACTGTGGAGATGCTGCAATGGTCCTAAGCGTGAAGACCACTGTACGTCACTTTATTCAGTGCCACTGCAACTGCAAACAGTCACTAAACGAATGGTTTTAAGTCAAGGACTACCTGTATTAACTGGCTGATCGCTGCAAAAACAAAAATCAGTCAAGAATGGCTGGTCCTGGTTTATTTCTAACTGCTTTCACCCCTCCTTCCCCATTTTTTTCCATCACGGTTTCCTGAAAATAGAATGACAAAGCAAACTTCAAAACAGAAAGCACTTAAAAACTGTTCCAAGCTGTATTTGAGAGGGAGGGAGGGAGGGAGGGAGGCTGTTCCTTTTAAGGGTTTTGTTTGTTTGTTTTGGCTTTAAAAGTTCAGAGAGGGAGGGGAAATACTCCATGAGAAAAACAAAGAACAAAAAAAGTTCTCCATTTACAAAGCATACAAAACTCTATAATTATAATCTGTACAAACTCAGATCCTGTTACAATATTTATAAAACCATCACTTAACCATGAATACTTTTATCTTCTTTTCTGCCTTCACTTTCTGAGAAAACACAGAATTATTGGGCACAAAGAAAGTCATCGGCTCCTTTCCCCCTTAGATTTGCACAGAGGGATCACAGTCTCGTTCGTATCCCAGGAATTTTTTTAAAAAAATACAAGATCAGAGCTGTGGTTTTTAAATCCATCACATATTTTTCCCCAGGAATGGTCTCTGAAGTATGTAGAGCTTAGAAGTTCCAAAGCAGACATATCAGCTGTATGATGAGATAAGAACCAAATCTTCCTGAAAAGGAAGGAAGGAAACTAGATTATTTCAGACAGCAGGCAGAAGAAGGATGGAACTGGTTTGACCTCGGTTTCCCAACACATGAGCTTCCTAGATACTGGGAATTTTGAGGCAAGAGCATACAGACAGAAAATCAGGGGAGAATGTTATAGTTCAGGGGTCCTCAACCTTAGCAACTTTAAGACTTGTGGACTTCAACTCCCAGAATTCCTCAGCCAGCTTTGCTGAAGTCCACAAGTCTTAAAGTTGCCAAGGTTGAGGACCCCTGTTACAGTTAGAATGTCCCCCACAAACCCTTCCCCCCAATTCTCTGTGTGAAGCAAATTTGTACATCAAGAAAAATCCTTCTCTTTCCTATAATTGTCTACTTTTCTGCACCTTGAACAATGCTAAAAAATGCATTTTTTAATGCAGCATTTTAACCCTTCCTGAATGTTGAACCAAAAGCAGCTATTTGTAATAAGAGGAAAAGACTGTGATGCAAAATAGGGGAGATCAATGCAACTTTTGGCACTGGCCAAGTTCCACTTGATACTAGAAGTGTCAATCAATTCAAATTCCTCCAGCATCTCCCATTGATTTCTCTGGTGCTTTGGCCTAGGAAAGTCTGCTCCTCCGTGGGGATAAAACCACCCACAACTCTTCCTGAGTTTCTTATATTGGCTGTTTTCCCTCAGGACTTTTTTTAAAAAATGGAGTAAGCTGCAAAACTCCACGGAAAGGTGGTCCATTCCTCATGCATCCCATCTGGGGAAGGCAAAGAGTCCTGGTGTCCATCATGAGTAGCTGAGGGGCATTCTCCTCCACAGGCCACCACACAGGCAGTTTTTGATCCATCGCTGCTCCCACTGCTTCACAGCTGTGGTCTTATTTGGGGAACGGAGCATCGTAACACAGCCGCACCTAAAGAGGAGACAAAATGGCACCCTGCTGAGAAACTTCCCCCAAAGGTGTAGAGCAAAAAAATTGTCTCCTCAAAAAATGTGTTAATATTTTTTTTACAGGGTCCCCTGCATGAGCCCAAGTGACTTTGGGTCAGGGGTCTTCAAACTTGGCCCTTTTATGACTTGTGGACTTCAACTCCCAGAATTCCTCAGCCTGGCTGAAGAATTCTGGGAGTTGAAATTCACAAGTGATAAAAGGGCCAAGTTTGAAGACCCCTGACAATCCCTCAGCCTGGCTGAGGAATTCTGGGAATTGAAGTCCACAAGTCATAAAAGGGCCAAGTTTGAAGACCCCTGACCCAAAGTCACTTGGGCTCAGCCCAACCCATCTCACAGGGTTGTGGCTGTGGGGAAAATAGGAGGAGGAAAGGAGTATTAGGTCATGTGACCATCCCCTATGGTCACGTGATCAAAATTCAGGTGCTTAACAACTGGCATGTATTTATAATGGCTGCACTGTCCTGGGGTCATGTGACCACCATTTGTAACCTTCCTAGCTGGCTTCTGACAAGCAAAGTCAATGGGGGAAGCCAGATTCAGTTAATAAACCGGGCAAAAAGGTCATAAAATGGAGCACAACCCACTTAACAGCTGTCTTGCTTAGCAATGGAAATTTTGGTCTCCATTTGGTCATACATCAAGGACTACCTGTACCTTATACCAGGTTTCTGCATATCCTCCACAACTTATAAAGAAAAGGGCCATCTTTAGGGCTTTGGTCTCAACTCTGTGTAGAAACCTGTTTACACCCTTTACAAACTTTGACCCACAACTGCAATTTCTCTCTGCTGTAAGGCAGGAAGAATCAGCACCATAGTTAAGTTGCAGTTAGGATTTATTGCTTAACCCTATCAACAAGACTCTAGTCACTAAATTGGCACTAGATAAGAAATCAATGGAATTCAAGAGGGCTTGGATGTAGGCCATTTGTGGGAACATAAGGAGTCTAGGCTGGTGCCCCACTTAATTCCACAACACACATACACACACATATACATAAACACACACAGAGAGAGCTCTGCCAGTTCTTCTCCTACATCAGCTTACCTTTAGTCAGTTGGGGATTAGGTTCAAAGTTTAAGAGAAATTATTTGGAGGATGAACTCTCCTTCCCTCAGCCTGGGATACTAACCTCGTACAGGACTTGCATTCTTCAGTAGGATAAGCTCCAAGATGGAGGCGCCGCAGGTGGTCAATCTTTGGGTACCCAGTTGTCCTGGGAATGAAGAAAACACTTGTTAGATAGCACAGTGCCAAATGCTATGGGAAGAGACAATCTTTCAGGATGATAACACAATGATGCCATCAAAAGAAGAAGACTGATTTCTCTGTCTCTATTTTTCCATTTAGGATAGGAGGGGGCAACAGCTTTCTAAAAGCTAACACAGTTGGGTTAGTGAAGGTTGCAAAGAGTTAATATACCCAATTTTGGTGCTTATTTTTTAAATAGTCAAGGAACAACACTGCTCTAAAACCAGTGACCTGCTTTTCCTAGGAGTTGCAAAATGGAGCTGAGGCTCATGTGGGCTGTGTAAAAATTAAGATTGAGGCTAATTTGGCCCCAGTCATCCTTAAGTCAAGGAACTTGTATTTCAGTATCTCTTTTCCTTCTGCTTGTTTTTAGCTGGATCTATTAAAACGGTGCTTTTCCAACTTGGTCACTTTAAGATGTATGGAGTTCATATGCTATGCTGGCTGAGGAATTCTGGGAGTTGAAGTCCACATGTCTTAAAGCGGTCAAGTTGGAAAAACACTGTGTTAAAGTGAGTTGATCTTTCAGCGAGTACTGTAAAAGCATTAAGTGAGAGTAAAATACATAAAGGACAATCCTTCTAGCATGCCAAGGAGCTTCCCTGTCGTGTCAAGAGAAAAACCAGGCTGCCCTCGATGCACCTGGAAAATGCATCGCACGGAACCGAAGTAGAGTGTCCAACGATTCCAAGAGGCTTTCCAAACTGCAGCCGGACAGGCTGCTTATTCTGCAGTTTGCTGATGATGGCATCGTTCACCGGAAGCCAATCCATGTTTGGGATGAGGAGCTGGCTGGGTAGGAGGCAGCATTCGTCGATCAAGGTATCGTCCGGCTCGCTGGGATGGCCTTCGTCACGACCTGCTCCAAGAGAAAAGGCTTTAGATCAAGGGTCTTCAAACTTGGCCCTTTAATGACTTGTGGACTTCAACTCCCAGAATTCCTTGGCCAGAGTGGCTACTGAGGAATTCTGGGAGTTGAAGTCCACAAGTCATTAAAGCATCAAGTTTGAAGATTCCTGCTTTAGATCATGTTTTTTGACCTTGGTCGCTTTAAGAGGTGTGGACTTCAACTCCCAGAATTTATGTGTATTGGATCACAAACATCTATTTTCACCTGGGAATTATTTCTAGATAAACTATGAAGGGGATTTCTATTTTTTTAAAAAAAAGATTATGTAAACAGGCAGCAAAAAATTGTTTCAGTGTAACTTCCATTATTTTATGGGAATGTTTTTTTAAAAAAATCCATTTCAAAGAAAAGAATCTCTGGGCCACAGGTAGCTTACCCATAAGATAGGACTATCTCGCCTCCTTCTTAATCATCTTAAAGTGAAAAATGAGGGTGCGTCACTAAAACAATATTGAAACAATCTGGATCAAAACCATTCTGGCCAAGCTTGGAAGTTTTTTGTTTTGCGCTCAAAATGTTCAAATGGCCCTCCTGAGCTTTGAATCCCACTTGGCATGTTCTGCACAGCATTTCTTTGTGCTTCAGACCTTCAAGCCACACCTCCCCCTAGTTTGGCACCACATCAGATCACTCACAGCATAACCACAATTTGGTAAGAAGTCGGAAGAGGAGGGACATGCTGTCCTGTGTATCAGATGTGGCTGTATAAATGGGAAGACAGCTTGGTTTCAAGAGGCCCCAGATCCGGATCATGACCATCAGCTCACGGAGCATGCCTAGGGAGGCCCCATCCCGGAGGAAACTGTGACCTGGACGAACAGGTCCTGATGCTGGTCCAGAACCCTAAGGGCAGAAAAAGGAAACTGAAGGTAGTCGAAGGCTGAAATGATGCACACAATGCTACAATTAACAGTATCGGTAGATTTATTGGTAGATAGAACAAAAGAAATGTTCAAATTGATTAGGAGTGTCAGGTCCCCAAACCCTTAGCCTTTACCTTGCATATGTATTCCACTTATGGGGCCTGCCATTCTATTGGGGGATGGGGAGCTTTGCATTGTTGCTGTTAGTTGCGAAGTCGTGTCCGACCCATCGCGTCCCCATGGACCACGTTCCTCCAGGCCTTCCTGTCCTCTACCATCTTCTGGAGTCCATTTAAGCTCACGCCTACTGCTTCAGTGACTCCATCCAGCCACCTCATTCTCTGTCGTCCCCTTCCTCTATTGCCCTCAATCTTTCCCAGCATTAGGCTCTTCTCCAGTGAGTCCTTCCTTCTCATTAGCTGGCCAAAGTACTTGAGTTTCAACTTTAGGATCTGGCCTTCTAAAGAGCAGTCAGGGTTGATCTCTTCTAGGACTGACCGGTTTGAACGCCTTGCAGTCCAGGGGACTCGCAGGAGTCTTCTCCAGCATTTTGCATTAGCTTGGGATAACTTTCACTTTCTACTCTCTCTTGCTGTCTCCATCCCCTTGAGAAAGGAATGGGTCTCCCTTATCAGGGAGACAGTTACAAAGAAATGGAACTGGAGAAGACCTTGAGATGCGCACCACCTGTGCCAGTTATCCGCCCTTCAGACCACCTGTGGATTGGCTGAATTTCAAATGGACATTATGACTTTGGTGGGAGGAGGAATATTGCTTGCTTAACTATACCGTTTCGGCAGGTTTTTCCCCGGATCTTGCCTTGATTTCCCTACTGTCACTGACCCCTAATAGAAGTATCCTTTTGAGACAATGCCTGTTTCAAGAGTTCTGCTTTCTTGGGTGATTAGTTGAAGTGGGTCCTTACAAGGAGCTTGAATTACCCTACAGCAGTGACCCTACACCAAATCTGACAATGACCCCATAATTTGCATTATGGATTAAATATCCTCAAATGTCCCTGTCTGCCCATCTTTGGAAATTCTGCCTCTGCTTTTGATTTCCAAAGCAAACCCATTATTTCTAATGAGGTTACTCATAATCATCCAGGCAGGATTGAGGATAAAGGGTTGAAGGCTACGCAAACTGTCTATCTTAACCAACAGTGGTTCTCTGGGACGGGCCCGTCTCACTTTCTTTGGTTAAAAATACCAGGGTTCAATAGTTAGGATTGCTTCAGTTTTAGAAACTTCAGCTAATGAAATAGGGCAGCTTTAACTGATTCAGTAAGTGAAGCAAATCTGCATAAATAAGAATAAGAAATAAAATATTCAACAGAAAGCGATGGCACTTGCACTGGGTACACCACTTATGGCTAGGAACCCCGATTTAATTAGCTGGGTTCTAAATGGGATAGTATACCAGTACATGCACTCTGTTTATTTCGTAGGCTAAATGAACAAGAAAGGATGTATAACAGCTGGATCCACACGGATCATTAAACACATTGCATAAACTAAGTCACTTTGCTATAATGGTTAAGGCATCAGTCCAGAAATTGGGAGACTGAGAATTGCAGTCCTGTCTTAAGCATGAAGTTAGCTGAGTGATCTTCTCATCCTCTTTCAACCGTAAGAAAAAGGCTGTGGCAAACTACTTCTGAAATCTGCAAGAACCTCTGTAAGCATTTTCCGGACAAAAAAATAAACAATCAAAAACAACCTTCTTGTTAAAAACTGGCTTATAATTCTTGTTTTTCAAACTTGGTAACTTTTAGGTATGCAGACTTCAATTCCCATGACCTATGCTGGCTGGGGAATTCTGGCAGCTGAAATTTATATATCTTTAAAGTTGCCAAGTTGAAAAAAGCACCAGTCTAGCCATTTTGCTCCAATAAACCATAAACTCACATATAATGGGCTCTTTCTTCCTGATTTGTTTGGGTGCAGGGTAAAACAAAGAGGCACCATTTATTATTATACACCGTTATTATTAAGTCAAGATTCCTGGTTCAAAAATAATGTGTGATCAACACTGTAGCTACAGTCTTTATACTATATGTGGCAACTGAAAAGAGATGGGCCGCGGAGAAGAGGCATTCCTTTCTCTGTATGTAAAGGACAATAGTGAATTTGATGCAAAAGTTTACCCTCCATTAAGCCAACAGCATCATGGGGCATCTGAGTCTCACCTGGTTCGGGAGACTGGCGAGCAAATAGAGCACAAAGTCCCCAACCCACTGGATCAATTGTTGGAGAGATTGCAAGGTGGTCATCTCCAGCACAAATTCTTCTGTCTTCAAATTAATCATCACTTTGTCGATATCTGGAAGGATCAACAGGAGGAAACTTCAAGGAGATAGATAGAGATTAGACATTAGGAAGAACTGTCATTCAGTGGATCAGGTCAGCGCAAGGAATGGTTTCTTCCCCTTCATTGGAGGGTTTCAAATGGAGGCTGGATAATCATTGTTCAAGGACGATGAAGTGCGGTGCTTCTTAACCTTGACAGTTTGAAGATGTCTGGACCTCAACTCCCAGAATTCTCCCAATACAAGTAGTCCCTGTTCAGTGACTGTTTGCAGTTATGACGGTGGTGAAAAAGCTTTGTGACTGATCGTCACATTTACAAGCTTAGCAGATCCGTAAAGCAAAGGAAAGTTGAAATAAGATTGTAGCTCAGTCATGGTTTCAATTAGTCATTGCTTCATTTAATGACTAAGATGCCAGTCAAAATTATGGTTGCTAAACGAGGACTACCTATATATTTAGGCAAGAAAAACCAAATGCACAGGTATAGTATAGGGGGTACCTTGCTCAATAGTAGAACTGTGAGAGGGATCTCAGAGTCCTAGTAGACAATCACTTAAATATGAGCCAGCAGTGTGCTGCAGCTGCCAAAAAAGCCAACACAGTGCTGGGCTGCATTAACAGAGGGATAGAATCAAGATCACATGAAGTGTTAATACCACTTTACAATGCCTTGGTAAGGCCACACTTGGAATACTGCATCCAGTTTTGGTCACCACGATGTAAAAAAGATGTTGAGACTCTAGAAAGAGTACAGAGAAGAGCAACAAAGATGATTAAGGGACTGGAGGCTAAAACATATAAGGAACAGCTGCTGGAATTGGGTATGTCTAGTTTAGCGAAGAGAAGGATGAGGGGGGACACGATAGCAGTGTTCCAATATCTCAGGGGCTGCCACAAAGAAGAGGGTGGGGTCAAGCTATTCTCCAAAGCGCCTGAAGGCAGGATGAGAAGCAACGGATGGAAACTGATCAAGGAGAGAAGCAACTTAGAACTAAGGAGAAACTTCCTGACAGTTAGAACAATTAACCAATGGAACAACCTGCCTCCAGAAGCAGTGAATGCTCCAACACTGGAAGTTTTTAAGAAGAGATTGGACAGCCATTTGTCTGAAATGGTGTAGGGTTCCTGCCTGAGCAGGGGGTTGGACTCGATGACCTACAAGGTCCCTTCCAACTTTATTATTATTATTACAAATTGCAATTTTATTTTACAACATGCCTATATTTGAAGGGAAAAAACATGTCCCTTATATAAAAATATATTCCTTATATACCATATACAGGTAGTTCTCAACTTACAACCACAACACAAAATTTCTATTGCTAAGCGAGACAATTTTTAAGTGAGTTTTGCCCCATTTTATGACCTTTCTTGTCACAGTTGTTAAGTGAATCACTAGAGTTGTTAAGTTAGTAACACTGTTTTTTCAGTGAATCTGACTTCTCCATTGACTTTGCTGGTCAGAAGATCACAAAAGATGATCACATGATCTCCAGGATACTGCAACCGTCGTAAATTTGAGTGGATTACCAAGCGTCTGAATTTTGATCACGTGACCATGGGGATGCTACAACAGTCATAAATGTGAAAGATGGCCATAAATCACTTTTTTTCAGTGCCATTGTAACTTCAAATGGTTACTAAATGAGCTATTGTGAATCAAGGACTACCGGTATATTAAAGCTTAAATTTAAAAAATTGGAGACATTCCTAAAGCAGCATGTTTCATCAAATCTATTATGAATGAACAATTTGGACCCAATTCATTAGTCATTTCTTTTAAATTTCTTTTCTTGAGAATTGTGTGGGTGAATAGTTGGCCACAATTTGTTAGTTCCTTCAAGTTGACTAACTTCTAGTTTTTCTTTACTCTTGGATACTCACAGACACAGACGAATTGATAAAATGAGAGGATAAGAATAATTATTTTGCCCTGCCCTTTCAGTGTGCGTTGATGCCCATCAATTAACAGAGAAGGCTTCAGTCATGGAGCTTGGCCACCATTTGGACATTTTGATTCTTCTACCCTACATGGACAACTTTGAAAATAGAAAAGGGAGCTTCCCCCCCCCCCACCCTCTCCTTTGGAAAATCTAGCAGACCGAGAGAGGATCAGCCCCTTTGAACATACCTATATCGGTGATCTTGGCACAGATCTCAGTAAGCCTGTCCCCAGGAGTCTTGTCGGGCGTGTTGAGGACTGGGGGCCGGAGCAGGGATTTCAGGGTGCAGCTGATGGCGATCAGGAAAAGCTTAGCATGGTAGTCGCAAACTCTGGCCACCGTACTGGAGGAGAGCTTGCAAAGTGAGGCCTTCATGGCAATGATGCGCGTGGAGAGGACCTGTCAAAGGAGGGACCTGATCACCCCTGAGAACGCTGCTCCTTTCAGCAAGGAGATCCACACATTAAAGTCAACAAATAAATGACACCGATTAACTTCTAGCAGTTCACGTTTCCCTGATCCCAAAAATGTTTACTCCAAATGCAATTGGCTAACCACGATTTAACCCTAATGAAACCATGGTTTAAACACACAACAGACTGAGCCCAGGCACCATTATATGCCCAGGTAACCCCACTATTCTGTGAGCTGCACTGCCCTCCTCTCCCCCCAATCAGCTTCCAGGTACAATTCAATTATTACCTAAAAAGCCCTATACAGATAGTCCTTGACTTATGACTACAAATTCCATATCCAAATGGAATTTCAGTCGTTAAGTTGCTGTGGTGGTTAAGTCGAGGCACTTGATTGCAGGCAACCATTTTTACAGCAGTCATTAGGCCAATCGTGACACTGTAAGTCCGAATCACATAGTCATTAAGTGAATAATGCGGTCATTAAGCAAGTCCATCCTCCTGAAGAAAGAATGGCAAAAACAGCAGCAACTTGTGGTCACACGACCACAGGACACTGGTTGTAAATGTGAGCCGGTTGCCAAGTATCCGAAATATAGTCATATGACCACGGGAGGAGAGGGGAAGGTTGACTTACTTTCAAGCAGAATTCCAGGTGGGAATCAAGATGGGAACCCGCAAATGAAGGTAAATATACATATCCCAGGATCTAGGTCAGTCATCGGGACCAGAGGTTTAGTCTTCCAAGCATTCGGATTCGTGCTGGAACCCATCCTGAGGGAATACTGGAATACGTGCTTTGGCCTATTCTGTGAATCGAATTTATGTGGGTGCCTTCCTATTGGTTGATTGGTATATTGAGGAACAGTAATTGGCTGTTGTTTCCTTGTGTTTCCAAGCCCCTCGGCTCCTAAGTACCTGATAAGCTGGTGGTAAATCAGCACACCTGTTGACTGACAAAGGGCCCAATTCCCAGGCTTCAATCATTTCCCTGGCTATTTTTGTGCCTGCTCAGCCAACAATCTTAGCTGAATTGAATATATGTTTCAAAGATGGGAACTCACCTGCTGCAGGGCGGCATTCTGGCGCATGTATTCCTCATGCAGCTTTTCCACCAGATTCTGCACCATGCCGGGCTGGACGTGAAGCAGGATGTCCCACCAATCATACCCTGTCACCATACAGTACTCCAACAGGAAAAGCAAGTGACGGAGAGAAATATTCATATCCAGAACATGACCCATGGAGGGAGAGATCCGGAACATGCTAAGCTGCAGAGAGCAAGGGGACAGAAATGACACGTCGGATGCAGCCAGGAAGTCAATTACCTCCATCTTCCGGGGGGGGGGGGGGTCCCTGTTCAGTCATATTTTTTTTAATAACTCCCTTTGGCAAGATTAATGCTTGGCACATTCCAGGATTCTGCTCTTGTTTGAATCAGGGAGCTGCCAGCATTGCTTGCCCGATTGTGAAACTTGATTCATTTGTTTGAGCTATCTGGCCTCCCAGGGTTGGCAATAATTCTTTGTTTTGCCCAGGTTGGTCTCAGAGAAAATGAAAGAATTTCCAATTAAATGCAAAACAAAGGGGCACTTCCTTTACAAAACTTTGGACTTATTTATGGGAGTCCCTGCAACAAGCTGTAGGGATAGCCAATAATTTAAAGGCCTTCAAAAGGAGGTTACTTGGATTCATAGTGGAGGGAGCAAATAAGCTTATTGGCAGGGCTTAATATGCCTTTCCAATCAGAACAGACCGAAACAGTTTATGTAGTTTGTTAACGTAAACTTGCAGGGGTTCTCAACCGTGGCAACTTTAAGACTTGTGGACTTCAACTCCCAGAATTCCTCAGCCAGCAAAGCTGGCTGAGGAATTCTGGGAGTTGAAGTCCACAAGTCTTAAAGTTGCCAAGGTTGAGAACCCCTGAGTCGTAAAGAAAGTTAAAATGTACAGATCAAATGTTACCATTCAAAACCCAGCTGTGGAGACAAGTAAAACTTTTCATTCATTAATCTTCATATTACAGGAAGTACCAGCTCACAAAAGTGAAATGCCTGGGTAAAAAACAACACAGGGAGATAGAGATGCCCGATGTCTTGGAAACATTTAGCTGTCCGCTCTTTGAATCCGGAAGCCGGTGAGAGGATTTTTCTTATGATCCAATCCAGCTCTTATGTTTTTTGTCTTGGAAAAAGGGAAACTATAAGTAATTCTTGACTAATGGCCACAATTGTGCCAAAAATTTCTGTGGCTAAAAGCAAGGCAGTTCCTTTAAGTGAGCTGTGCCCCATTTTATGACCTTTTTGCCACAGTTAAGTGAATTGTTTCAGGCGCTGGGTGAATCACGCAGTTGGTAAACGAATCTGACTTCCCCCGTTGACTTTGCTTGTCAGAAGCTGGCTGGGAAGATTAATAATAATAATAAGAATAGTAATAATAAAGTTGGAAGGGACCTTGTAGGTCATCAAGTCCAACCCCCTGCTCAGGCAGGAACCCTACACCGTTTCAGAAAAATGGCTGTCCAGTCTCTTCTTAAAAACCTCCAGTGTTGGAGCATTCACCGCTTCTGGAGGCAGGTTGTTCCACTCGTTAATTGTTCTAACTGTCAGGAAGTTTCTCCTTATTCTAGCTTGCTTCTCTCTTTGGTTAGTTTCCACCCGTTGCTTCTTGTTCTGCCTTCAGGTGCTTTGGAAAATAGATTGACTCCCTCTTCTTTGTGGAAGCCCCTGAGATATTGGAACACTGCTATCATGTCCCCCCTCGTCCTTCTCTTCCTTAAACTAGACATACCTAATTCCAGCAACCGTTCCTTATATGTTTTAGCCTCCAGTCCCCTAATCATCTTTGTTGCTCTTCTCTGTATTCTTTGTAGTCTCAGCATCTTTTTTACATTGTGGTGACCAAAACTAGATGCAGTATTCCAAGTGTGGCCTTACCAAGGCATTGTAAAGTGGTATTAATACTTCAGATGACCTTGATCCTATCCCTCTGTTAATGCAGCCCAGCACTGTGTTGGCTGGTGATCAGATGACCCCAGGTCAGTGCAATTGTCATAAATACATGCCAGTTGCCAATTGCCCAAATTTTGACTACGATGGTAGTGTGAAAACTGGTCATAAGTCACTGTTTTCAGGGCCATTGTAATTTGGAATGGTCATCAAACAAATGGTTATAACTTGAGGAGTACCTGTAAGAATCTTTCTTGGCCTCCCTGTTTTAAATACTATGGCAGTGGTGGCGAACCTATGGCACGGGTGCCAGAGGCAGCACTCAGAGCCCTCTCTGTGGGCACTTCTCTGAACTGCTGGCGGCGGGCTGTGGAGCCCCAGAGTGCGCCAGTCAAGCGGCCGGCAGGCTGTGGTTGCTGACGGACACTGTTGGCCCCCCTGCACCCGCTGGCCTCTGTGTGTGGGGGCTGATGGTGTCAGGCAGCAGCCGCCCCGGCCCCTGCCTCACCTCGCCCTGCAATAATAGCACCCCTGCCCTGCCTCGCCTTGCCTTGCCTCACTCCGCAGGACGAGCCTCCTGCCCACCACCCCACCTGCCAGAGACCCCTGGATCTCCCCCAACCCTGCCCGGCCCCCACAGGCGTCCCTCCCCACGAGCAAAATCGAGGTGACCATGCCCACCTTGGCCACACCCATCCAGTCTGCCATGACCACCACAGCCACTCCCACCCAGTGGGCCATGCCCAACTGGCACCCGGTGATAAATAAGTAGATTTTGGGTTGCTGTTTGGGCACTCGATCTCTAAAAGGTTCACCATCACTGTACTATGGGGATCTTACTCTGTACTCCCAAACATACCTTTCCATGGCTATCGATCCCAACTAAGGCCAGTGACGTCCAAGACATCTGCATAGCTTTGAAGTAGACCAGAGGGCCGGAAGTTCTCTGGCGTTTGATGGTCTGCTCATCCACCGGGCGCTGAGAGGTTGAGCCGTAAAACACTGCCATGGTTTGCAAGGAGAGGCGGTTGATGATGTGGACGCTGCCATCATGGAAAGCAAGTGCCAGGCCTGGAGCAGAGGTGGGTAGCAAAAAAAAAAAAAAAAGAGAGAGAGAGATTTTAAAAATGTTTTACAAAGAGAAGCAGGCTGTATTCCTTCTGGAATATTCTATTGTTTTATCCCCGAGCAAGCCAATCCAACATCGCTGTTGGGAGACGCTTCTGCTCACCACTTAGTGGCAAATTACTAAATGGTACTTACTAAATAAAGTTCTAATTAGGAACAGAAAAAGTTGCAGCTATGATTCCCAGTGCTTGATAGCCCATTTTTAGGCATTTATAATTTTCTTATGAGAGCCAGTTCAGTGTACAGGTAGTTCTCCACTGAGGGCTGGTCGCTTAGCGGCCCTTTGAATTTTAGATGGAGCTATCTGGGGGGCTACTTATGACCTTCCGTTGGTCACTCCCCTGCGGCCCAGAACAGGAAGTTGGAGGTCCAGCTTTGAAACTGGCATGGGGGAACCTTGGAACTTTCCAAGAAGGGATCACACTAGCAATAGCAAGAGCACTTAGACTTACCATATATGCCGGCGTACAAGGCGACCCGGCGTATAAGACGACCCCCGTCTTTATCGCCGGGCCACATTCCTAGAACGTCGTCTTATACGCCGGAAACTACCAGTATTTCCGGTGTATAAGACGACTCGGCGTATAAGACGACCCCCGTCTTTGGCGCCGATTTCAACGCTCGCGGAAGTCACCTTATACGCTGGCATTTACAGTATATACTGTTCTATAGTGCTTTAAAGCAGCTGTGTCCAATCTTTCTGATTCGGCAGACCGGCAGAGGCGGTGGCGGGGGGGGGGAAGATGGGATGATTTCACGTGTGCACTCGCCCATCACTTCTGTGGCCCAATTCAGAATGGGCCACGGACCAGGGGTTTGGGACCCCTGCTTTAAAGCACCTGAGCGGTTTACAGAGTCTGCATATTTCCCCCCCAAAATTTGGGTCCTCATTTTACCGACTTCAGAAGGATGGATAGCTGAGTTAACCTTGAGCCCGTCAGGATCGAACTCCTGGCTGTGAGCAGAATTGCCCTGCAATACTGCATTAAAACGACTGCGTCAAACACAACACTAGTTTTTTTTTTCATATCTGATAAGACTATACATCCAAGAAAAACTTTCCTCACCTAAACCCGGGTAGAACTTGGTGTCACTTGCTACCTTCAAATCAGTGCTGGTCAAAGAAATTGGCAGTTTGGGTAATGCCACAGCAGAAACTCGGTCCAGGTCATTAGTGGCTGAAAGGATCCGCCATTTCAAGATCATCGGCGGCTTGTCCCCAACTTAGAAATGAGAGGAAGAGGATCATTAAAGTACTGCAAAAAGCATTTGGTAATGGAACTTCCTTCCTTTCTGCTTAGCATGATCAGATTACCGAAATTTTCTAGATGTGTTTGGGACTGCAATTCCCAGAAATCTGAGCAGCATGGATACTGAGAATTCTTTGGGTGTGCTGGCTACTCAGAATTCAGGGAATTGTAATCCTGAAATTTCTGGAGAGGCCTGGTTTGGAAGAGACTGTATTATGTCACCTTCTGCGGCAGTGGTTCTCAACCTGTGGGTCGGGACCCCATTTGGGTCGAACGACCATTTCACGAGGGTCGCCAAACAATGCAGTCCGCCATTTTTTTCCCCTTTTCCCTTAGCTGTGCTACTCCCTTTTATTCTATTGGCTTTTGAAAGCCAATAGAATAGACTCTCTTGAATAGAGTCTAATTCTATTGGCTTTCAAAAGCCAATAGGAATTGTCCAGGCTGTCTCTGCCCTGCTGAGCCCGCCAAAAGTCCCATTCTGCAAACGGTGCTGCACCAGTTGAGTAGTCCTCAACTTATGACCGGTTGAGTAGTCTTCGACTTACGACCAGTTGGGGGGTCGCGGCATTAAAAAGGTTGAGAACCACTGTTCTACGGCAAGATGAGCGGCATATAAATTTGGTAAATAAATAATTTTGCATTCAGAAAAGCAAACTGAACTAAGATACACATATAAAACTAGTTTTCTTGTATTCCTAAGACACCACAGCTGAAAGAATATTGCATGGTCTGAAAAATCTATGTATTTTACACACAGGTCACCTAGGATTTTTTTTTTTCAAAATTATACTAAGGCCTTCTTCAAACTGTTATCAAATGTATTGTTTTTAAACAAAAGGAGCAGAAATTCAGCTCTGAATTTCTCAGGTCAAGATGTACCAATTTAATGACTTCTCGCCTGAGGAAGAATCAAAAGAAGCTCATTTCCAGAGGGAAATGGCTGTGATGAGAATGTGTTGCCAGGTGATTTCCTGTGCAAACACAACAATTAAACATCATCTGTGGGTTTGATTGCTCTCGGTTAGAAAATTTGCTCCTGCTGTGCTGGGATGAGGGAGATAAATAGAAGGAAGGTTGGAAAGAAATGAGCTATAATAAGGGAGATAAAGAGAAGGAAAGGTGGAAAGAAAAGAGCATTTTTTTTCATTGGCAACACAACCACATCCATGAAAAACAAGTTATTCATATGGGAAAAGCAGAATTCTAGTTTCACCTTAGGCATGAAAGCCAGCTGGGTGACTCTGGGCCAATCCCCAGAAGACTGTGAGTTCTAATCCTGCCTTAGATATAAAAAAACTGCTAGGGACTTTGGGCCAATTCCCAGGAGATTGTGAGTTCTAGTCCTGCTTTAGGCATGAAAACTGGCTGGGTGACTTTGGGCCAATCCCCAGGAGACTGTGAGTTGTAGTCCCGCCTTAGACAGGAAAGCAGCGGGTGACTTTGGGCCAATCCCCAGAAGACTTCGTCCCAATCCCAAGATTCTGCCTATGCTTTTCCTGCCTCGTTGCTTGGGCTAGAATTGCAGTTTACAGGTTTCAAACTCCCCGATCTGACCAGTCAGGAATCCAGGTTGACTTCAACCAAATGAGAAGAAGCCATTTTTCACCTGAGTTCTTTCTATACCTGCTACTTTACTCACCTGTGGGGGAAATCTGCTGGAAAATGTTGTTAACCGGCAGTCCTTCTTTCCGGAGTGACCAGCATTCCACAATGCTATTGTTCTGACTGGAGGCACACAGCAGCATCTGGAGAAGGAGGGAAGGCCAGATAGAACAATGTTATCAACCTTAGAAACGTTAAGATGCATGGACTTCAACTCCCAGAATTCCCCAGCCAGCTTGCTGAAGTTATGAAACACTGGTTAGTATATAACTCCAGAGGCATGTAATATAAACACCTGGGAAGACCACACTGGATAAAGGCAAGTGGATTCAGGCCTAGCCTCCTCTTCCATAGTTGTGCTCTAGGATAGGAGTGGGAAACTGATCCAGATGCAGCTCACCTGCCACTTGCTTCAGAGTTCACTGGAAGCTCCTTCCCCTATTTGTTCATTGTTCATCCAGAATAGGGGTATCAAACTGGCAGCCCGCAGGCTGGATGAGTCACATGCAGGCCACGCCCACCCCGGCTCCACAAAGGCAAAAAACATCACGATATGTCACGATAAATTATGTGACGCGATCGAGTTTGACATCCGTGATCTAGAACGTTTCTCAAACTTGTAACTTTAAGATGCGTGAACTTCAACTCCCAGAATTCTCCAGCTAGCATGCTGACTGGCAGGGAGATTCTAAGAGTTGAAGCTCACATGTCTTAAAAGTCCCCAAGTTTGAAAAACATTGTTCTGGAATGCCTAATGTCAGCTCCAGCAGCTGTTTAAAATTCAAAGAAATTAGAAAAAGACAAAGATTACTATGAGAAGACAGCATCTCCATATATGGGTAGATGTATGTGAGGGAGTGCATATCCACATGTCTCTGTGCATGCATGCCCTTGAGTGAAGAATAAGCTCTGTACATACTGATCTATAGCTTTTGCTGACTTCCAAGATATAACCTGCTGGAGAAGAATCCTGCGAGTCCCTTGGACTGCAAGGCATTCAAACCGGTCAGTCCTAGAAGAGATCAACCCCGACTGCTCTTTAGAAGGCCAGATCCTGAAGTTGAAACTCAAATACTTTGGCCATCTAATGAGAAGGAAGGACTCACTGGAGAAGGACCTAATGCTGGGAAAGATTGAGGGCAATAGAAGGGGACGACAGAGAATGAGATGGCTGGATGGAGTCACTGAAGCAGTAGATGTGAACTTAAATGGACTCCAGAAGATGGTAGAGGACAGGAAGACCTGGAGGAACGTTGTCCATGGGGTCACGATGGGTCGGACATGACTTCGCAATTAACAACAACAAGAAGAAGATATAACCATTCTCCAAAGATAATCTGTGAAGGAATGAAGCTCTTGGGACCAAAGCAATTCACTGCTCTTTTTCCATGATACAGGTAGTCCTCGACTTATAACTCGAATGGAACCTGCTTATTATGGTCATAAGTTGTAATGGTCATAAAATGGCTCACCCACATGACAGCACTAAAGTTACAACTTTTTTTGCAGCAGTCATTAAGCAGACGCTGTGGTCATTAAATGAACCCATTTCTTGCTATAACCCAGTTTTACGAAAAACAGAAGTAAATGCTGATTTTCATCAAAAACATTATAAAATATGGTCATATGTCCACGGGACACTACAAATGGCCATACATGTGATCATATGACCTTGGGGTGGAAGGCACCCATTGGAACTTCAGAACCAAGTCATAAGTACTCTTGTGGAAGTCCACTGTAACTCTGAAAACAATCGCTAACCAAATGTCTATGGAGATTCTTAGTCATCATCCAGGTCATGGCTGTCCCAAAGGTGCTTTTTAAAGAGGCAACTGGATTTTGTTTTTCTTTGAAGATGTTTCGCTTCTCGTCCAAGAAGCTTTTCCAGTTCTGAAGCAGTGAAAAAGCTTCTTGGATGAGAAGCAAAACATCTTCGCAGAAAAAACAAAGTCCAGTTGCATCTTTGGGACAATTACTAGCAACTGGTTGTTAATTCAAGGTCTATGTCAAGACTTCTAACATCGGATGTTCTTGCTTGCCATATATGAAGAAGCAAACCTGTCTTATTTAGCCTATGTAGCACTTCTAGAGTTAAAGCAAATAATACTAGCCTAGTGGATGGGAAAATATGCTAGTTAATCATAACAATGTCTGAACACAGTGTTGCCAAGGTCAGCTGTAATGGGAGGGGCACTTCACACTTCACATTAATTGGAGAATGTGATTGATGACTGTAAAATGAAGGAGTGTGTTATGTTTTGTTATAGGTGTTTGGGGGAGGGAGGATTCAGTTTTTGGCTTAACTTTGTTAGTGCCAAAGCTATGCAGAAAATAAAGGATTCTTTCAGGTGAATAAGCCTCAAAGTTCTTTGAAAAGCTGCTTCTTTTCGGAACCATGACAGTCTACCTGTAAATGCAACACTGCTATCATATCCTTCCATGTGGACTAACAATATCCACTCCTTCCATGTTTCTACACAGAGTTCTCCAGATTCTTCACTATTTGATCTGTCTTTTGTTGGCCAAGTAGCTAGAAGGAAGAGGCAACAAGGACTAGAGAAGGAAACTCCAAGGACCTCACCTGCTCAGACATGTCCCGAGCTAGAAATTTCAAGTGGGTGATTGCAGGATATTTGTCTTTCCGAGCTGGGTCTGTGGTGCAGCGCATGAACAAGGAGGGGAGGATTTCTGTGTCAATTTTACACTTCTCGTTCACCACACTGACACAGACTTTGTAGAACTGGACTGGAGAGGCACTGCTACCATCTGACGTGGCCACCACAATGTTGCCTCCACCGGTGAAAGCAATATCAGCCAAGGCCACCCGGCAGCGCAGGCGGCAGAGACTCTCCGTGGAGGTCAGCACTTGTCCATTGGGCTTCAGCAGGGAGACAGTGACCAGCCCACTGATGGTCACTGCGATCCAGCCCTCCATGGGTTTCCCACCAAAGAGGGTCAACGATGGGGAGAATTTGACCCGGGAGAATTTCTCACCAAAATTGGATGCTCCAGACTATGGGTAGAAGGAAACAAAAGTTATTTAGGAGAGAGCTGATTGTCAAGAATACTAAAGGTAATCCTTCACTTACAACCATTCATTCAGTGACCATTCAAAGTTACAATGGCATTTTAAAAAGTGACTTATGACTATTTTTCATACGACTGTTGCAGTATCGACTTTGCTTGCAAGAAGCTGGCAGAGAAGGTTGTAAGTGGCAAACGTGTGACCATACCTCACTGTGATGTTGTAATCACAAGCCACACACCCAAGTTATGAGAACCAGAACTTGAACGGTCATTGAACGAATGGATGTAAGCTGAAGACTACCATAGGAAAGCAACCCTTCATTAACCTACTTACCTTCTCCACGTGCAAAGCCAGCTTCACCCCATTGTGCAACCAAGAAAGTGCCACTACTGGGTCTCCTTCCACTTCACTGCCCACCACACTCTCCCAGCTGTTAGCCAGGTGGTCCATCATACTCCAACATTTGATGTGCCCATCAGCGTCAGCAGACAGAAGTCTGGATCCTGCAGCCAAGAAAAAAAATAATGAAGGAAGTCAGGATACCAGTCAAGGGAGTGACAGGTCCATTCTCTGGCTGTAAAATGGAATTAGCTGATCTTGCATATTTGAATGCTATCTTGAAGTTTCTTTTAGGAACTGTCAACTCTTTGATATAGGGAATATCATGAAAGAGACCACACAAGGATTAGTGAAACGTTATTTTATCATCATAGGTTATAATAACAGGATCTTGAAAGGCTGCCAATTTCCTTGCACCCTCTTATACTAAACAGTAGGGTAGGGTTATTTTGAGTCTCTTTCTCATGTCTTCTTCCTCCCAGGATTGAATTGTCATTTATTATCTCTTAATGAACCTTCTATTCCTTCATCAAGGTCAATTTCATGCTCCTTTATATGGATAAGCCATGTAATCGTCTTGGCAACAACCCAGATATGGTTTGTCCATGCTTTCTTCTAGGTATTTTGTGAATACTCTACAGTCATGGAATTTCCAATTGAAATAGCTTCTGGAATCAGCCAAGGTCAGCTGGGTGTCTAATAATATAAACCACCCTTCCTCATCCTGGCACTCTGTCCAAGAAATCTGGAAAGTACCAGCCTGAAGAAGTGGATCTTTAATATCAATTTCATCAACTCATCTTGACACTTCGATTTTTTTGGGGGGGGGGGGAAACTAAGATCTTTCCAGGCAACCCAGGGCTGGAGACACTTTTTATCTGAAAGTGCCACGAAATGAACCAGGTGCACCAAGCTACAGTTGTCCTCCTTTACCTGACTGATCCCATTCCAAGCAGGTGATTATTTCAATGTGTCCAGAATTGATGGAGTGGACGTCCCACGGATGTTCTGTGTCAAGGATATGGACCATATGGGTGAGATCTGAGGAAGGAAATGGAAGAAAAAAAGCTACATAAATGGATGAGAAAGCAGCAGAGGGGAGGAAATATTATTTAGAATTAACACTGCAGCTGCTTGGAGATCTGGTAGAGTAAATGAGATGGCAAAGCTGGCCTTAAGACTGAGGGAGGCTCTAGAGCAGGGGTGGGCAACCTTGGCTTTTTTATGACTCGTGGACTTCAACTCCCAGAATTCCTCAGCCAGCCATGCTGGCTCAGGAATTCTGGGAGTTGAAGTCCACGAGTCATAAAAGAGCCAAGGTTGCCTACCCCTGCTCTAGACTCACTTCCAGCTCTAAATGGAGAAAGAATAATGGGCAGATTTTCCACGCTAGTTCCCCATATCTGCATTGGACTTTGGGTATTCCTCGACTTACAACAGTTCATTTAGTGACCGTTCAAAGTTACAACGGCACTGAATAAAGTAACTTATGACTATTTTTCACAATTACAACCTTTGCAGCCTCCCCATGGCCATGTGATCAAAATTCAGATGCTTGGCAACTGCTTCATATTTATGACGCTTGCTGTGTCCCGGAGTCAGGTGATCCACCTTTTGCACCTTCTGACAAGCAAAGTCAATGCGGAAGCCAGATTCACTTCACAACCGGGTAACTAACAATTTCAGGGATTCACTTAACAACTATGGCAAGAAATGTCGTAAAATGGGGTAAAACAATACATTTCTCACTTAACAATGGAAATTTTGGGCTCAGTTGTGGTGGTAAGTCGAGGAGAACCTGTATTCATAATAACTTGAAGCTTTCCCAGTAACCTGGATCCTTGACCTCGGCACCAAAACTTTTCATGACAGGGAAAGCAACAGCTATGGTCTCTTACCCATGTAGGATTCAAGAGCAGATTGTCTCTGAAGGCTCCCCTGAGCCATCCATGAATTTAGATCAGGGCTTTTCAACCAGTGGTACGGGTACCACCTGTGGTACATTGGCACCTAGCAGGTGGTACGCGACCATCCTAGAAAAGTGGTAGCGGGGGAGGGGAATGAGCTGAACCGGTGGCAGCACCGCACAAGCCTGAGCGAGAGATGGCTGGAGCTGCAGGGCTGTCCGGGCTCAGCGGAAGTGCCAGAATCAGCGCCAGGCTCCAGCTGGAGCTCGGTGCTGATCCTGATGCTCTGCTAAGCCCTGAAGAAGCACCAATCAGCTTGAAAGCAGCACTGATCCTGGTACTTCTGCTGAGCCCAGAAGAAATGCCGATCAGCTGGAATGCTGCAGCATCTCCAAGGTCTTGTGATTTACATTCAGATGATTGGCAACTGATTCATATTTATGACGGTCACAGTGTCCCAGGGTCATGTGAAGTGACCAAAACCTGCCGCAACCACCCAGCAGATGGGGGGAATAAAAAACAAATACCCCCACCCCACCCCCCGCTGCCAACCCTCAACAGAAATGCTCACAACAATGAAAACCTTGGACAGCAGGAAGAACGCGGCCGGGCAGGCAGGCAGGTGTCTTGCTCGGCTGTGGCTTGGAGGGCACTTTTTTTAGTGCCACTGTAACTTCGAACAGTCACTAAGCGAACTGTTGTAAGTCGGGGACTACCTGTACTTTATCACTTTTTTCCTTTTTTTTTTTTTTTGGTCATCAAGTTTTTGACACCTTGCTAGGCGACTGGTGGTACTCGGATGTTGCCATATGCTAAAAGTGGTACAATGGGTGAAAAGGTTGAAAAGCCCTGATTTAGGTAATCTGTCCAATTCTCTGTGAAATCCAAGAAAATACAATACATTCACCATTATCAGATTGAGGCTATTGAATGGGCTGACCCCTAGGTCTGATACAAGACTGTCCATTTCTTCATATTCTCTTATTTATCTATTTATACCCTGCCTTTATTCTTTGTATAAATAAAATCAAGTCAATGAATATACCGAATAATCTTCCTCCTTTTTGTGAGCAATTTTTATTTATTTGTATCCCGCCTTTATTATTTTTTTATAAATAACTCAAGGTGGCATACAATACTTCCTCCTCCTCCTATTTTCTTGACCGCAACAACCCTGTGAGGTGGGTTGGGCTGAGAGAGAGAGTGATTGGCACAAAGTCACCCAGCCGGCTTTCCTGCCGAAGGTGGAACTAGAACTCCCAACCCCCTGGTGACTGATGCAAAATGACTTTAGTCAGTTTTCACCATAAGGCATGTCAGTCTCCTGGTTTCTACCCTGGCACCTTAAATATTAGACCAAACTGGTTAAAACCTTAAAACAATTTTAAATTTTAAAACAATTGCAGCAACTATCTTCTTATTCCAGAATTTATTAAGAGCAACGTCAGTGGCAAAGAAGCCAACATAGTAGGAAATACCTTTTTCCTCCTCATTTTTGAGGTCCGTGGTGAAAGCAATCAAGTTGCGACAAGACCAGGCGCAGACCAATGGAATGGATGGGCAATGGTTACTCTTTGGGCGCTTCTCCCATTCACAAACGTATGCCAGATCCATTGTGTCTTCCTCAGTTTAACAGCAGGGAACCGCTACCTAGAAAAAAATTGCACCTGGAAGCTGCCATAACTATGACAAAGAAGAAAATACCAGCTGATAAACCAAAGGAAATCACAGCAGCCATCCCGTGCTCCCCTTCTTAAAATATGTTGCTTGCAGTGTTCTGCATGTATAGAAATCAAGCATCAAATTTGGACAAAAGGGAAACAGTAAGTGGTCCCACATCTACAAGGCAGAAGAAGGAACATCAACACATAGACAAGGCAGCAAACGTTTTCCCACTCTTCCCTACATATATTCCATCAGATGCCCATCATAATCTAAATCGTGTGTTGCTGGTAGAGAGTTGGGACTTTTTTCCAAGTAGGATCAATTGGAATGACAGTCTCTTTTTAGTTCAGTTTCTTATGAAATCAAAGACAAAGGACCTGATGTGAAATAAATTCACATTTTCCCCCTTTTAAGTTTGCCTCTATTTACCTCCTCTTTTTAAAAAAATTATCCAGGCAGTCTACAAAGGCCTCTAAAAAGTCCTCTATTTTTGTCAAAAGGAGAAAAGCATCATCCTGCTGTCACAATGCAAGCTCCATCTTTTCGTATCTGCATGTGAAACAATGATGCATATCAAAAAGGGGCCACACTGGTGTTCCAACGCTCTTTTGTAATTTGCCTCCAACACCTGCCCTCCCCTCCAAGACACCTATGAATTGCTGGATCACCTCTGGCTGGCCATAATGGTAGCTGAAAAAGTTGGAAACAATTGGTCATACCCTTTAAATCCCATAAATCCTAAGGTTTCAAATAGATTTGATGGACCAACTGAATTAACTGAACCAATGATGGAAAAAAATACTACTTTTTTTTTTATTAAAAGTTTTTGAATTTTACAAAGCAAATCCCTTCCCCAAACCCCCCACCCTCCCATGCCCTCCCCCATCTCCCCAAACCTCCCATACCCCCCCTCAACCTTCCCAGAGCTGAGTACAGGCTTAATTAAAATTTTTCAAAGAAAATAAAAAATAAAAAAAACTTAAAACACATATAAATCCTAAACAAATCTAAATACATTAAATTGAACAAAATATCTTCTCTAAAAGATAATAATTGCAAACATTAAACACACATTATAATATACTCTAAACCTTTTCTAATATTGTACTTATATTATTATCCATCATTCTATAAAGAATCCCCAAAACACAAATTTAAACATTACTTTCTTTAAATATCTATACCTACAATATAAAATCTAATCTCCCTCTTTCTTTACTCTAGAACACAAAAATAAGCATATAAACATTCATTATACCATCAAAACTGGATACCCATTTAAATAATTAAACTAAATACTTATATTTAAACTTCTTATCTAAAATTTTCATTCAATCTCCATGATCTTCTCTCCTATCAATAAAAAAAGGACTTAAAAAACATATAAATCCTAAACAAATCTAAATACGTTTAATTAAACAAATTAACTTCTCTTAAACCAATCTTTAAACAAACTATAATATACTCTAAACCATTGTCCATCATTTTATAATATACTCTAAACCTTTTCATATCATACTTATATTATTACCCCAAAACACATATTTAAACATTACTTAAAACATTAAAATTCCCTTATACCTGTTTAAATCTTTACCAATAACAAATTCCTCCACAATAAACACATTCCTTCTCTTGTCCATAAATCTCTTAAAGGTAATTCCAAAAAGTTTGTAAATCTTACTTCTCCCACAATTCAATAGTCTTCTGAGTACTTAAACTAAGTACTTAAACTTAAACTTGTTATCTAAAATTCATTCGATCTCCATAATCTTCTCTCCAATAGCCAGTTCCATCCACTATAAACACAATCCTTATCAGTCTCTCTTGTCCATAAACCTCGAAAAAAATGCTTTAAAATCTGCCCTTGAAGATAGCTCCAAAAATTTTTTAAGTCCTGGTTCTCCCACAAGCTCAGGAACCAATAGCTGTGAAGCTTCCTTAACCTCCTTCTTCTGTTGGTCTTTCTCTTTACGTTTATATGTTGCACGAGTTGTCCTCTGCTCTTTCATCTCGACTTGTTGAGGCCCCTCAGACTGAAATTTCCCCTTTTTAATTAATATAGGCTCTTCACACTGCAATTCTGCCCTTAAAGGTTGCTCCAAAGAGTTTATAAATCCTGTTTCTCCCGCAGATTCAGGAACCAATACTTGTGAAACTTCCTTGACCTTCTTCTGTTGATCCTTTTCTTTACAATTGTATGTTACACAGGTTGTCTTCTGCTCCTCCATCTCCACTTGTTGAGGCCCCTCAAACTGAAGTTTCCCAATTTTCATAAGTGTAAGCACTTCAGACTGCAATTCTGCCTTTTTATCTTCCAAAGCTTTGAACGTGGTAGATGGCGATGAGCATACCCCCAGGACCGAAGTATAAAAGTCTTTTGCTTTAGAAACAGTATTAAGACTATAACGTATCCCCAGGTAACTCACCACCATTCCAGTCGGAACGTCCCATCTAAACAAAATTTGTCTCTTTTTAAGTTCGTCTGCTAAAAAAGCAAACCCCTTTCTTCTTCTTAAAATTTTAGATGGGATCTCCTTTAAAATTATAACATCTTGTGAAGCAATTTGAAACCTCTTCTTATAAAAAGCTTGTATAATTTCATTCCGCAGAGATCTTTTCCCAAAGTAAATTACCACATCTCTTGGCAAATTCTTTTGCTCTGCCACCACAGAGTTAACTCTAAATGTCTGTTCCATTTCACTAAGTATTTCCTCTTTTTCTCTATTCAAAATCACAGCAAGGTCCTTTGCAACCATCTCTCTCAGATCTCCTTGCACAGACTCACCCAAACCTCTGATTCTTAAGGCATATTCCATTTGTTTATATTGAAGCATAAGAATTTCATCTTGAAAATTTTTCATCTCTTTTTCCATACTTTCAAATTTTCCCTCCATCAATTCCACTTTTTCTACTACCTCTTCTACACGAGAATTCAACTTTTCAAGAACAGAGGCAACCCCTTTTAAAGCCAAAACTATCTCTTGCCTCAAAGTCTTATTGTTTTCCTCTAAAATCTCTTTCATTTCTCCCCTAATTTGAAGTACAACGTCTCCCATCATATCTTGCAAATCCTTCACCATTGTTGACTGTGCCAAGGAAGAAGGTGGAGCTATTAATTTAGGTTGTTGCACTGATGATAACACCGAAGAAGAAGCCACTTTAGGAGCTGTAGGGATTACTGGACGCTTTGGAGCCATCTTAAAAAAATCTTTACTCCTTCTTGGAAATTGCAAAAATTAAGCAGAGGGGAAAAAAAAGAAATTAACTCCATAAAATCAAAAAAAAAATATCCTTCAAAAGGAGATCATTATAGTAAAGAGAAAGGAGTTCAAAAAAAAGAAAAAAAAGAAAGAAGAAAAAAATAATTAAATAGAAAAAATCCATTCCATTTTTTAAAAAATACAAAAAATACAAAAAACAAAAAAATTAAACAAAAATAATAATACTAACACTCCATTCCAATCATTAAAAAAAACAAAAAAAAAGGAAAAAAGAAAAAGGGAAAAAAGAAACACCAAGAAGCCTGCCGGTCACCATTCTACCTTCCGAAAAAAAAAAACCCCGAGAGGCTTGCCGATCGCCATTTTACTTTCCCTTTCAACAAAGGGAAAAAAAAAAGATAAAAAGAGGGAATATAAAAGTAAAAATAAATCTTTAGACTTAAAATCCAAATAAAATCAAAGAAAAAAATACTACTGAGGTAGACTTATAATATGGTATTTTTTAAATGGAGCTTTTGAAATATATTAGCTGTGGGGGGAAAACGCACGCGCAGCAAACTGCCGTGCTTCCCCCCCCCAAACCTCATAACCTTTTGATACCCTTTGTCCCAATGAAGCAGCCAGAAGGTCATCCTCTTTTGACTTAATGCCTCACCTACCTAAACAGATAATATGCTTAGTTCCTTCCTATCTTTTCCTGTCTTTGTTAGTTCTTTCTCCTTTTGATCTGCCTGTATTTGTTCTTTACCTGGTCTTTGATCATGTAATGTGTTACTAGGAAATAGTTGCTTATATGAAGGAATCTTCCAATGAAGAAACTTTATGTCAGCATCTAATGTTTAAGCTGGTGTATGTAAAAAGTATATAAAAACCAATAAACACACAGAGATTCTCAAGCTGTGACAAGCAGCTCTGCAGCAGCTTCAAATCTCTACTCAAGACATGCCTGTGTCTTTTTCTTAGTGTCTTACAATTAGCAATCTGGAAATGCTATGCAATCTTATGTTCATGCAATGTAAGAATATGTAATCTTTGTAGGTGGCTGTAGATATTGGGAAAATAAATCTTACTTCTCTTTGGAGTCCTCAGTGCCCTCTAAGTTTGGTTCTTTTCTAAAGTAATTTCATTATCCAATGTCTGCAACAAACCACCAAGCTCAGAGAGCACCAAGGACTCCTGAGCTACAAATAATTTCTTCTATTGTTACTTCTCTTCCTTGTTGCCATTTGACTGAATGCCATTAATGGTTTTAAATTGCATTTATCACAACCAGGTATATGGATTAGACATAAATGTTCATACAAAACAAGACTCAGGAGCAGCTAATTAGGCAATCAAAACCAACCCTAGCATCAAATTAAAGCACTCCCTAATCAGCCTTTGCCTGAACACATCCCACCATGTCTCTGCTTTAGTTGTCAAAATGTGGTTCACGTTAGAAAGTTCTTCCAGTATTTTGTGCCCCTAATAGTGGGAAGAATGAGAAGAGATCTTGATCTTTGTCACTGTAACTTTCCTCCAAGTACTTAAAAAGCATTATCATTTCCTTTCCTCAGCTGTCTCTTTTCCCAGCTAAATATATCTGGTTTCCTCATCTCTCCTCATGAAGGCCTTGTTTCTGATTCCCTAATTATACCTGCACTTTTTACAATAACTTTTTACAATCACTCTGGGTTTTTAAAAGGGGGGTGATTAGAACGGAACACAACACTCAAAGTGGAGTCTGAGCTATGCACTATATCAGGGGTAGGCAACCTTGGTTCTTTTATGATTCGTGGACTTCAACTCCCAGGAATTCTGGGAATTGAAGTCCACAAGTCATAAAAGAACCAAGGTTGCCTACCCCTGCACTATATCATAGAAATGGCATTTGCTATTATTTGGGACCTGTATTTCTATCAATGCAGCCCAAAATTGCATTTTCCCTTTTTTCCAGCTATGTTGCACTGCTGAAGCATAATCAGTTTAAGATCAGTGACAATTCTAAAAATCTTTTCAGATGCATCGCTACTAAGCCAGGTACCCGATATCTCACAGCTGGGGAATTCTGGGAATTGAACTCTACACATTGCAAAGGCACCAGGTTTGAGAAACACTAGTCTAGATTTTTGTAGCCTAGATATGATGGCCCTAAATATGAGAGGCCTTCCTTTCTTCTGTTCACTCAAGTCATTCATGAAAATGTTGATGGCTACCGGTTCCAGAATCAAATCTGTAACTCCCCATTCAATGCCATATTCCAATTTCATTTTAAAAATATAATGTCTATTCTGTGATTGTAAGACTAAACAGTGACTTGATGGTGCATAATCAACCAATCTATCAATTACTCTTTGAATACCATTTTGAAGACACCTTTGTTTTTTTCTTAATAGATCACATATTGATCTAGCTTGCCAATAATAATGACGCGAGGCACACTATCAAACGCTTGCTAAACTCAAGTTATATTAAATCCATAGCATCCCATAAGCTACCAATAGCCCAAATTAGTAATCACTGCATTGTATACAATGTAGTGGCCCTAAAAGATTAATGCCTCATCAAACGATGTGAAGGGGAAAATTACTCTGGAAATATAAGCTCTGCAGCAAAAATATCCTCCGAGAGTAGCTTTAAAATGTTTAGATTTTTAGCTTTCTTGCTTGCTTTTCCTCCCCCCCTCCCGTTCTCCCCAAATGAACTCTCCCATATCCCCCTACTTACCGCAACCACCTATACAGTCCAGCTCCCATGCGCATGCGCTAAAACTTGGGCTTTCTTATTAATGCTATCTAATGAAGTGCCTGATATTCATGTCAGTGAAATCAAACCTTTTAAAAGCTCACGCCAGAGAAAAATATAATTTTTCCCAAGCCTCTTTTGCTGCGAAAACTCAAATTTCTGTTTCTTTTTCGGGGATCTTAATAAGGATGAGGACCTCTGATCTTAATTCCTACCCAGACCTTCCGCGATGATACCCAAGGGACGCATATTTGCATACGTCCTTTCCCATCATGCATCCCGAAGAAAGACAAATCAGATAATTTATTGGGAAGAAAATATTTTAATGTTTTGTAATACTAAGATTTAATAAGCATAGAGGAATAAGAACATTCTGCATGGATATAAAAATAATAGGCACATTTAGTTTACATTGTCTCACTATAACATTACAATTATATATGTTTGAAGCTTTATATACCATACAAGACAGGCTAGAATTTGTGCTCGCTTCGGCAGCACATATACTAAAATTGGAACGATACAGAGAAGATTAGCATGGCCCCTGCGCAAGGATGACACGCAAATTCGTGAAGCGTTCCATATTTTGCAACAGAAACACACCTCTCTTTCCATCTGCCTTTGCCTACCAAAAAGTATATTTTCACAACATATATTTTTTACATAAAGCAATACCTTCTACAAACAGCTTGTGAGAAACGTTTGGAATTTGCAATTCATCCGTTCCTAAAATCTCCTGTAAATTCCTTTTCCATCTGGCCTCTGTGTGGTGTAGCCTTGGCAGATGCTTGTATAGAAAACGTTTGTTACCGTTTCATCTTTGACATCACACTAGATGGAGCTTCTATTATGATTATGCTTTATTAATGCAGTAAGAACCTTTTGAAAAAGTTTATAAATATAATATGAATACTATAGTTTATATAATTCTAATTTGTTTTTGTCCTAAGCAGATTTAAGAACTTATGTTTGTTATATGACGAAAAGATCCAGATACCTACAAGGAAATATTCACGGTAATGGTAGTGATAGTAAGCACAATGATAATGTAATAACAAATATTTTGTTTCAAGAATTTTAAATATATTTTAATTTTAAAAACTTCAGATGTGATGCAATAGTGCTAATTTATGGTAAAATAAAAAAAAATACAGAGAAGGATGAGGGGTGACAGGATAGCAGTGTTCCAATATCTCAGGGGCTGCCACAAAGAAGAGGGTGGAGTCAAGCTATTCTCCAAAGCGCCTGAAGGCAGGGCAAGAAGCAACAGATGGAAACTAACCAAAGAGAGAAGCAACCTAGAACTAAGGAGAAACTTCCTGACAGTTGGAACCATTAACCAGTGGAACAACCTGCCTCCAGAAGCGGTGAATGCTCCAACGCTGGAAGTCTTTAAGAAGAGACTGGACAGCCATTTGTCTGAAATGGTTTAGGGTTTCCTGCCTGAGCAGGGGGTTGGACTAGATGATCTCCAAGATCCCTTCCAACATCATCATCATCATCATTATTATCTACAGACCTCACACATCCTGGACATAAACTGTTTCAATTTCTCCCCTCAGGAAGCTGCTATTGGGCATTGCTTGCCAAAACAACTAGGCCCAAAGACCCAAATGTGTTTTTTCAAAAGGCCATTGTTTTTCCTTGAAGATGTTTTGCTTCCCATCCAAGAAGCTTCTTCAGTTCAGTTTCCACATCACTGAATATGCCTAATGATATCTAACATGTAGTAGGGCTGTATTGCTATTATCCTCCTTATTTTTCCTATTACCTGTTCTTATTGGTATGTTATGACTATCACTTTGTTGGTTGTATCTTATGATTTATGATTATATCTTATGATTTATGATTTATCACTTTGTTTCTGGTATGTACACTGAAAGTATATGCATCAGAGACAAATTCTTTGTGTGTCCAATCACACTTGGCCAATAAAGAATATTATATATGCTATTCTAATTACATAATATAATAATAGCATTAGAAATACTATTGATTTGTTATTAACATTACATCTGCATTTGTCAATCTTAGAAACTTCACCTCCTTTCTAGTTTCTGTTGTTAAAACATTTTATTGTATTATAAAATAAAATAGAAAAAAAACCCCAGATAATAGGATCCAGTGGGGAAGGAAAAGGGAAAAAGAAGTGAGGGGGAAAAGGGGAGAAAGAAAAAAAAGCATTGATTTCCGACTTTCTCTGTTGCATTAGAATAAAGCATTAACATCAAACCTCCGCTTTTTACTTTTCCAAAGTAGTATAAACTAGCCATTTCTATAACAACAAATCAATCTAATCAGTAAATCCTAAGATCAAAGTTTAATTTTTTTCCACTTCAAGCACAAAATCCAGAAGTGATCTCCATATGGAAGCAGAAATATTTATATTCTTTAATAAAAACAGTAAATTTAGCCATCTCTGCCAACTCCATCAACTTCTGTAGCCATTCATCCATAGTAGGAATCAAAATGTCCTTCCATTTTTGTGCATACAATAGTCTGGCTGCTGTTGACATATATAAAATCAAAGTTCCATTTTTTTTCTAAGTCTTTTTCCATTATGCCCAGAAAAAAAAACCCTGCTTTCATCTTTATCGTTACTTTAAGAATTTTCTGTATTAGGATATGAACCTACTCCAATATTTCTTTGCTTTATCACATGTCTATCATAAGTGGTAAAAGGTCCCCTCTTTACATTTACATTTCCAACATTCATCTGAAATACCTTTATACATTCTTGATAACTTATCTGGTGTTAAATATCAGCGGTATATCATCTTATAAAATTTTTCTTTTAAATTGTAATTCAATGTAAATTTTAAACTTTTTGTCCACATATTCTCCCATTGTTCCAGCATTATATTATATCCAAAATCCCTTGCCCACTGAATCATAGTGTTTTACACATTCACTTTCCAATTCAATTTCAATAACATTTTATAAACCTTAGAACAGTGGTTCTCAACCTTTTTAATGCCGCGACCCCTAACCAGTCGTAAGTCGAGGACTACTCAACTGGTGCAGCACCATTTGCAGAATGGGACTTTTGGCGGCTCAGCAGGGCAGAGACAGCCTGGACAATTCCTATTGGCTTTTGAAAGCCAATAGAATTAGACTCTATTCAAGAGAGTCTATTCTATTGGCTTTCAAAAGCCAATAGAATAAAAGGGAGTAGCACAGCTAAGGAAAAGGGGGAAAAAATGGCGGACTGCGTTGTTTGGCGACCCCCGTGAAATGGTCATTCGACCCCAAATGGGGTCCCGACCCACAGGTTGAGAACCACTGCCTTAGAATAATATGTTCATCACTACCTCACAATAAAATTTCCAGTTCATTTTTAACAAAGTCAAACCCATAACTCTTTTTATCTAATTTAAATCTTTTTTTCAATTGTTGATATGCAAACCAATGACAAACATAGCCCTCTGATCGACTTGAGGGTAGGGTCACCAGAGTTGAAAAATATCATTTCACCATAAGTCCACCAGTCTGGCTCCTCTATCATTTCTTTTCTTTAAAAAAAGCTTCCTGTGGGGACACCCAAAGAGGCAACTTTGTAGAAAATCTTGTTTTGTAATTGTTCCAAACTCTTAGTATGGTGTGTCTAACAAAGTGATTGTTAAAATCCACATTGACTTTAGTCATCCAAATTCATGACCTTCCAAATCAAGTAGTCTCTTGTTCTGAATGTTTACCCACTTTTTTAGCCAAGCCAGACAGCATGCATCAAAGTACAATTTCATATCTGGTAGGCCCAAACACCCTCATTTCTAAATAAGCATATTTGAGTGCATATCAGGGAAATCCCAGAGACTTTTTGTATGCAACTCCATCATGTATTCACTCTATAAATATTCTATCTTTGATTTTGTAAATAGAGTACAGGTAGTCCTTGACTTATGACCAGAATTGAGCCCAAAATTTCTGTTGTTAAGTGAGACAGTGAGTAAGTGAATTTTGCCCCGTTTTATGACCTTTCTTGACATTGTTAAGTGAATCACAGCAGTTGTTAAGTTAGGAACACAGTTGTTAAGTGAATTTGGCTTCCCCATTGACTTTGCTTGTCAGAATGTCACAAAAGGTGATCGCATGACCCGAAACACTGTAACTGTCATAAATATGAGTCAGTTGCCAAGTATCTGTATTTTAATCACATGACCATGGGGATGCTGCAATGGTTGTAAGTGAAAAATGGTCATAAGTCACTTTTTTCAGGGCTGTTGTAACTTTGAGCGGTCACTAAACAAACTGTTGTAAGTCAAGGTCTACCTGTAAATATTTTAATATTAGTTCATTGGGAATGCAATTGTGATATGCCTTTTTAATATTTCTGCCAAACGCTAAATAAACTTTTAAACAGATCCTAGGTGTACATTTAAAACAAATCAGTGATAATAGATACAATGTACACATAATAGAATGTACACTCCAGAGATGGTAGAGGACAGAAAGGCCTGGAGGAACGTTGTCCATGGGGTCGTGGTGGGTCGGACACGACTTCGCAACTAACAACACACATAATACATCAACATTAAAATGCATGCAAGATGAGGGAGTGGCAATTTCTATCATTTAAAAAAAGGACAGCTTTTGAAACCAACTTAATGATGCATCACTGGGTAATACCTCCAACTAAATTTATTCACTCTTTCAGTACCTTTTTACTGTTCTAAAAAAAAATACTAATTTCATGAATCAAATACAGCGAATTTCTCCAAACGTTTCCAAAAGGTATTGCTTTATGTAAAAAATATATGTTGTGAAAATATACTTTTTGGTAGGCAAAGGCGGATGGAGAGAGAGGTGTGTTTCTGTTGCAAAATATGGAACGCTTCACGAATTTGCGTGTCATCCTTGCGCAGGGGCCATGCTAATCTTCTCTGTATCGTTCCAATTTTAGTATATGTGCTGCCGAAGCGAGCACAAACTTTAACGTCCCTGGAGGGTTATTTAAAGGTTATTTTCTCAGATTTTCTCAAGTTACGATGATTGATGTCCGGGTTTTTCTCCCTTCTGTATTTCATACTCAAAATATTTCTTTCTATTGCAGTGTATTGCTTTCAAAACAATGAATCTAAACCTTTTTAAATTAATCTTAAAAACCAAAGGCTTTATTGAGTTCCCCTGGTGCATCATGGGAGGCGCCTATGCAAATAAAGTCATGCTTCCCTTTATCTGCCCTCCCCACGATACTCTTCCCCTTTTATTTCTTTTCGTCAGTTAATACTATTTTGCTCATGCATTGCCGATTTTTCCCCCAAAACAGTTTAGGAAAATATATATATCAAAAGAAAAAGCTGCTAAATGTAACCCCATATGCGGGCACGTAGCCCTCCAAACATCCGATTGTTGCTGTTCTTTACACGAGGAAGGGACTGGCGAGGCAGGGTTTGCTCCGCGTGCAGATTTACAGAATAACAGAGTTGGAAGGGACCTTGTAAGTCATCTAGTCCAACCCTCTGCTCAAGCAGGAGACCCTATATCATTTCTGACAAGTGGCTGTCCAGTGTCTTCTTGAAAGCTTCCAGTGATGAAGCACCTACAATTTCTGAGGGCAAGCGGTACCATTGGTTGATTGTTCTGTCAGAAAATTTCTCTTCCTTTCTAGATTGAATCTCTCCTTGATCAGTTTCCATCCGTTGTTTCTTGTCTGGCCTTCAGGTGCTTTGGAAAATAGGTTGACCCCCCTCCTCTCTGTGACAACCCCTCAAATAGTGGAACACTGCTGTGATGTCATCCCTGGTCCTTCTCTTCAATAAACTAGCCATAGTTTATTATTATAAACGGTTCTTGCAACCGTTCTCCCTATGTTTTGGCCTCCAGCCCCCTAATCAATCTTATACTGTCACCCTTCCAGAAGCAAACCAATGAAACGGCCATCCGATTAAACGTCCCCTCCAAATAAAGGATAATAGCGGTAATTGCACAGGTGCATTTACATCAGGATTTCTCAGTCTCAGCAACTTTTAAGATGTACGAATTTCAACTCATAAGACGTGTGCAGGGATAACTTTTGCATTGCTTGCCTACACGCAAGGTAACTGTTCCCACGTCACTAGTTCCTCGCGCAGGCAGGCAGCTAGGCAGGCTGGAGGGCAGCGCAACCTCATCCAACCTGATAAGGACAACGAGAAGGACACCAACCACACAAGGACACAGGTCGCTTGCCAAGGGGCCAGGTTAAATCCAGCCCTGCCGCCACTCCCCGGGCTGACGTCACTTCCTGCGGGGGGAGGCTCCTAGGCCGGGTCGGTCCCGTCCTTCGGGCGTTCGGGGAGCGGAGAAAGAGGGAAGGCGGTTGGGGGGGGGAGCAGCAGGCCGGGCAGCGATGGTGGGGCTGAAAAGGGGAGCGGCTGGGGGCCTGAGGGGGAGCCAGGAGGAGAAGCTGTCTGGAGCTCCCCTGGACCAGCCTTACGGGTGAGTAGCAGGAAGGGTGGAGGGTTGTGGGCGCTTCGCAATTGTCTTTGTGTGTTCCTTGTATTTGTTTCGGGTCAAGGAAAGGAGCTCCTTCCCTCTGATAGACTGCCTTATCATCTGGAGGCTCTTGTGCTTAATAACACAGACAGCTCTGAAGTCGAGTTGGGTAGGATCTGACTGTAAAAATCCAGCTCATCCAGGATCTTGAAGGTTGGAAAGGCAACAGCTGTCACCCACTGCCTTGTTTTGTGTTTCCTCCTAAGGTGGAGGAGAATGAACAAAGCTCTTCCTTGTTCAAATCTGTTTTATTTAAAAGCAGTTGAGCCCTAATGACTCTCACAAATTCCTTGGTCGGTGAGTTCCACAGGTATAGTATACATATTGCTGGTCTTTTTGTCACCCTGCACTTGGGACATCTACTACCATCTTTGATTGTATTAGTGCTTTATGCTTTTTTTATATATATATGTCAATTGTCTGAAGAGGTTTGTTGTAAAAGGCAATCTAACATTTTTTTACATAAGAAATAACATACAGTATCTAAATGCAAAAAAAAAAACCCCACATTACATTATTTCCTATCCTTTCTAACATTTCACTTTTAAAGCTTTTTTTCCAATCTTTCTTTATTCAAAGATTGAGGAAATGGTCAGCCATCAGATGAAACTGGATGCAAACTTCCTGAGAATGATAGGTGTTGTAGACCAATACAATATATTAACTTTGGACATAGTTGTTATTATTTTCTTGCTTTATCCATTTTAAAGGAATACTCACCATAATTATTAATTGGAAATATGATTGATTTACTTATGCATATGATTTATATAGCCACTCATCTCAATAGCAACTCTGGGCAGCTTCCAACATTTAAAAACAATGCAATAACATAATATAAAACATAAACAGCCCAGAAGTCAAACCAACCAAATAACTACATCACTTGATTTTAATAAACATTCTGGCTCTCATTCACACAAACACATCCACATCTTTAGAGCACCTTTCTCCCCCTTCCCCAAAAAACTTGTTTGGTGGGAGCCAATCTAATTTAAAGGAAGGACCGGATTGCAAAATGTAAAGCTTCCTTGCATATACCATAGAAAGCAATGAACCAATGTAACTTGATGCAAGTTACAAAAACAAAAACCCACAATTTTCCTCAGTGCTTCCTCCCCAGAGTGGTCAGATTGCCACATTAACAAAATGTTTTCTTGTAGTTTGACTATTGAAGAAGATGGCTTGCACTGGCCCAGATGATAGCTATTTCCGTTCTAAAAAAAAGTTAATACCAATAGCAATATTCCTCTTGTTAAGCGAACAGGCAAAATGACAAAACTATACAGCAGGGGTCTTCAAACTTGGCCCTTTTATGACTTGTGGACTTCAACCCCCAGAATTCCTCAGCCAGGCACGAATTCTGGGAGTTGAAGTCCACAAGTCATACAAGGGCCAAGTTTGAAGACCCCTGCTATACAGGTAGTTCTTAACTTACGACCATAGTTGAGTCCGAAATTTCTGTTGCTAAGCAAGACAAGTGAATTTTGTCTCATTTTACAACCTTTCTTGCCACAGTTGTTAAGTGAATCACTGCAGTTGTTAACACAGTTGTTAACTGGATCTGGCTTCCCCATTGATTTTGCTTGCCTGAAGATCACTGAAGGTGATCACACGACCCTGGGAACTGCAACCATCATAAATACAAGCCAAATGTCTAACTTTTGATCATGTGACCGTAGGGATGCTGCAGCAGTCATAAGTGTAAAAAGGTCATACGCCACTTTTTTCAGTGCCATTGTGACTTCAAACACTCACTGAACAAATGGTTGTAAGTTGAGAACTACCTGTAATGGGAAAGGAGAAAGTTATCTTCTTTTAGATCTCTCCAGGAACCCCAGCAAAAGATTTCTTGTCCTGGAACATTATCTGCAAAATTCTTTTGAGAAAATGCTGGAATCAGTTACTGTGAAGAGGAAAATAACTGAACACAAAGTTGCCGTATATTGAACTTGCATCCGAGCGATGGGATGAATTAGTCTATGTATTTTTTTGGACTGCCAAATGGAAATACTTTGCATTGCCTTTATGTGTGACTTCCCAAGCTCTTCTACAGCTCTAAGGCTTCTTGCAGGTCCCCCAACCAAGTATAGGTAGTCCTCAAACTTACAACCATTTGTTTAGTGACCATTTGAAGTTACAACAAAGTCAATGCGGAAGCCAGGTTCACTTAACTGGGTTACTAATTAAACAACTGCAGTGATTCACTTAATAGTTGTGGCAAGAAAGGGCATAAAATAGGGCAAAACTCACTTAACAAATGTCTTGCTTAGCAACGGAAATTTTGAGGTCAATTGTGGTTGAGGTTTGAGAACTACCTATATAACTAGGCTTCATACAATAGCCTGGCCATCTTTTGTCACCTGTGGGAGGGTTGAATTGCCAGTACTTAGGAAAGACTAGCTTAGAGTTCATTATTATCCTTTGCAAGAAGGAGTTGCAAGATAAAAATATAGGCATGGAAAATGTGTATAGATTGTTCCTAACAGCTCAATAGATCCTCCATGTTTAAGAGCAGCCTATTTCTAAACACTATACAGTAGGAGAACAGGAGGAGAGCCTTACAGCCTCTCTTGCTCTTCCTGACCATGGATGAAGATTGTTTAAGTCCGTCTGGTTTGGTTTTTTTTTCCTGCAGTTATCTGTGCTGTCCCTTGAAGCATCTGCAAAGAGAAGATAGAGTCTATAAAGACTTAAATCTTTGATTTGGAGGGGGTGGAATTTTGTCTTTTGCAGAAGGATTGAAGATTGCTTGCCCCCTCTGGCCACCCCTTCCGCCAAGAGATTCTCTCCAGCCAAACGGAAACAGTACTACATTAACCAAGCCATCCGCAACTCGGACCTCATCCCCAAGGCTAAAGGGAAGAAGAGCCTCCAGCGCCTGGAGAACAGTAAGTGGTTGTTAGGCAGGGCTTAGAAACCCTTTGGTAGCTAGCTATTATCTCTTGATTACCTATTGAACTGATCAAAATCCAGAGCAGCCTTTTCCGACTCAATGCGTTTCAAAGGTTTGGACTATTAACCACAATCACGCTGGCTGGGAATTCTGATAGTTTTGACCCCAGCACTTTTAGAACCGTCCAGTGATAAAAGAAGCTCAGTCTTTTCCAAACTTTTTCCTTCATTGCTTATCAAAAAATCTTATTGAATTTTGAGGACAGGTGGTAAGTCCCTCCCTTGAGTAGTGTCATAATGTCTTAACTGTTGCTGAATGAGTGGTCATAACTCAAGGACTATTTATGTTATGAAAACAGTATCACTGAATGATCTTTATGTCATTTCAACAAATTACCATTTCATCAGTTTTCATCTTAGGAGGAGTACTCTGGCAGACTTCCAAATATATTTTAGTACACAAGGCAATCATTAAGTCAATTTAAGTGTCCCTAATGAGTTTGCCTGTCATTGCTCAAAGATAAATCCACTTTTATCCTATTTTGGATAATTGATCACTAATGAATCGTTCTTCATTCAGGCTAACTAAGAATTATTATCTTCCAGACTAGTTGGGACTAGCTGCTCTCTAATTTTTATATTAAATGTAAATATCCAGAATGGTATGAGGATTGAAGGTTGAGGATGAGGTATTGACGACCTTTAAAGTGCCTTCCATCTCTATGATTCTATGCCTAAATAGTCCAACTGGGTAGCTGTTAGGGCCAATCTGGCTTGCTGCCTGAGGCATTGAGGAATTGATCATTGGGAACCAAGCTAAGGTGATGATGAAGATGCTGACCTAGGCACCAAGAGAGCTGGGTTCTAGTCCTACTTAAGCCACAGAAGCTGATTGGCTGACTTTGGCCAGTCCCTCTTTCTTAACCCAACCTATCTCATAGGATGGTTATTGGGAAGAATAAGAGAAGTGAATACTAGGTGAGCAGCCTTGAGTTTCTGTACAAAAAGGGAGATATATAGCTAATCAGTACAGGTAGTCCTTGACGTACAACCATTCATTTAACAGCGGTTCAAAGTATCAACGGCACTATAAAAAAATTAATTATAGCTGGTCTTTGCACTTGCAACCGTCACAGCTTCCCCAAGGTCACGTGATCAAAATTTGGACGTTTGGGAACTGGCAAGTATTTACAACGGTTGTAACATCCCAGTGTCATGTAATTGCCATTTGAGACTTTCCCAGCTTCCAGTAAGTGGGAGAAACCAGATTTTTCTTAATGATCACTTAACAACCACAGTGATTTACTTAACAACCATAGCAAAAGAGGTCATAAAATCAGGTGTGATTCACTTAACAACTGCCTTGCTTAGCAATGGAAATTCTGGTCCCAACTGTGGTTGTAAGTCAAGAATTATGTGTAATTAAGCAGTGTTGGTAGCATGATGTTGAGTGTGCCGTGCTGCCCACTGATGTCCCTAAAAGAGTCACTATTAAGGTACATGCATGAAGCTTCATATTTCATTATTTATTAATTCCGTGCATTTCTAGCGCGTTACCTAATGACCCTCCTTGAGCGGGATGACTGCACCAGTGAAGATGGAGATCTTAACCATCCTGCTCCTCCCAGCATTTTTACTGAGGCCTGCAGCAATGAGACTTATATGAAGGTAGGGCTCTATTTTTTTTTTTCTTTAGCTGATTCCTCTCCCTTGGAAACAGAATCTCTCTCCAAGCCCAGTTTTGCATTTTCTTTTCTTAACTGACATCACTGGATGGTGATGTGGTAGAGGTTGAAATATAGCCTGCAGGGGAGGATTTAAGTCAGAAAATGTAAGGAACCTGCCCCCCAAATGATGGTACGAAAATAAAATAAGCTGAAAATGTGACAAGATTATACATGTCGAATCATGTCTTTATTACAAAGGATTATAGTTTATGGGTGAGTCCATGCTTTCACGGAGGAGGCTCTTCACTGTAACTGTGCTGCTAGAGTTCAACAATTGGGGATAAAGGGAGAATTGGAGTGGATTGGACCAAGCTTTGGTCCCCAAACTAATGTTTTTTCCCTAATGAGGAAAAAGCTTTATACAATACAGAAAAAGCTGTATTGGCTATGGAGCTGTGGCATTTCCTATTTCACTAAAAGCAAGATAGAACATACATAGAATCATAGGGCTGGAAGGGACCCTTGTGGTCTTCTAGTCCAACCCAAGACCTTATATCATCCCTGTCAAATGGATGCTCAGTCTATATTTGAAAACCTAGTGAACATTCATAACTTCAGGAGGCAATTATTCCATTGATTAATTGTTCTAACTGTCAGAAAAATTGTCCTTCAAGATTCGATCTCTTTTTAACAAGCTTCCATCCGTTACTTCTTGTCCTGCCTTCTGGTGCTTTGGAGAATAAATCAATCCTCTCTTCTCTGTGACAGCCTCTCAGATATAAACAAGCAGAGCTTTAGATTTTTCTGCTCTGGGTTCTACCCCCTTTTGACCTACGCCAGCCAAGTTCTGGCCATAATGTCTAGCAAAAGAAGAAATTGAAATCCAGCTGGAAGGCACCTGGTTGGGGGAATGTTGGGATAATTAGCTAGTTCAAAGAAGAACTGAGTGGCAGACTCTAAGAATGATCCCTGGTAGTTTTTTTAAATTAACTTTTAAATTAAAGAAAGGGGAGGCCAGCTTCTGCCAGATGTCCTGAGGTGGTGCACGCACATTTGGTGATGTAATGTATGAGGAATGAGCAAGGTGGAAGGGAGTGTTGTGTGGTGAAAGACAATGGAATAAATATTACAGGATAAAGTGTTGCTTAGTCACACTTCAGGCATTTTTACTGTGCAGTACTTGGGTGGTGTTAGGTTTTCTTCAAGTGCCATAGAATCAAAGGTCTTTGTGCAAACCTGGGCAATAGGCAACTGGCAACAGGGCTGTGATTTGCAAGATGATGTAAGAAAAATGACACTCCCTGTTAAGACAATGAGGAAGAAAGCTGAAAAAAAAAATGACTCAGTCACAGAGGCAGAGTGGTGTAACAGTTAGGATGTTTGACTCCCAGCAGGGTGACCTGATTGCAGCTACTGTATTCTCTACCAACCAAAAGTTGTCCAGTTGAGTTTCTCACAGGGTTGTTGTGAAATAAAACTGAAAGAATCATAGGGTTGGTGTCAGAATCCAATTATATTTCATCTTTAATTATCAAACATAGAAACTCCCAATTCTGCCTTCTCTGGATTCTGCCATAAGAGGGAGAAAAGGGGGAGAGCAAAGGGGCTTTATGGCCCTCACTTCCTTCAGCACACTTCAAAGGACTGAATGTGTGTTTATTGTGGCCTCTAAGCTTTAACATATCAAAGAAGAGTAATTGCCTTTCATGTAGTTATCTGAAGTCTCCATCCAGACGGAAGAAGAAAGGGGATGGAATTGTGATACTTGAAACTATCACTGGAAGGGGGGTTGATTGGGTGGGACTACTGGGGAACCCCTTAAAACCTTGAATGGGAGAGCTTGAACCCCAAGTCCTGTCTAGCATGCCTGCAACCATTTTCTCTTAATAAAGGATTCCTGTTGGAAGAACTATTCCAAGAGTTCTGTCTTCTTAAGATGCAAAGTGGGGTGGGTCCTTACATTAGACAGGACTTGCAAAATTAATCCACCTGGAAGGTAGACCCTTGCCGGGGGATTTTGCAAAAATTTACCATGTCAGACAACGAAGCAAGAGAGGGAGAAAACTCCCTGGAAGGAGAGCCGCTGACCCAGTTGGAACCTTGCCAGATGTTGGGATCCGAGAGGCCAGATTTCTCAGAAGAAGAAGTGGTGGAGACACAGGACCACAAGCCTCGCTGGTCGATGGGCGTTGGAAAGAAAAGCGAGTGGGGAAAGGAATCAAGAAAAGTGACCCTGAGACGGGGGACCAAGCAACCAGAATGGAAGCAGGAGATGGAGAAATCCCTGCACGCAAGTGAAGAGGGAGGAAGCTGTATGCCGTACTCAGACTGGATCCTAGAGAGAGCTATTGACCTGATGAAGAGAACTCTCAGCTCCCTAGGAGAGGAGATTCCTGAGCCCTACGCCCGCCCCAGTTCCTGGAGCCACAAAGGGAGAGACACCGAGGGGGACGTGGAACCTGCAACCCCAGGGACATTTACTGATCCAGGAGCTCCCACCCCCTACCGGACCCAAGATGGAAATCTGGACGGAAGACACTACCACCCACAATGGAGGCACCGATCCATTCCAAGACGTCCACCGTTGGAGGTGAAATTCAAAGGGGAGCCAACACGCTTGGGGTTTTTCCTAACCCAAGTCCTCAGCTACATGGAGGAATATGGGCAGGACATCCCCAGCGACAAAGCCCGCATCCGGATCGTGCAATCTGCCCTGGATGGACCAGCTGCAGATTGGGTGGTGAACCTGCATGACTCCAATGCCCCAGAACTCAGTAACTTCAACCGTTTCATGTCCTCTTTGAGAAGACGATTTGAAGACCCCCTGGCTGATCGCAAAGCCCGTGAAAGAATAACAACGATGAGGCAGGGCAAACGCCCAGTGGCTGAGTATACACAAGAATTCCGAGCCATTGCCAGCAAACTGAATTGGCCAGAAGACATCCTCCTTGGCCGTTTCAAAGACGGACTAAACTATGATCTATATGATGCTTGCCTGCCCCGAGGAGACCCACATCGACTTGAGGAATGGTACGTCTTGGCAGAGGAAGCAGAGATCGACATATTGAAGAGGCATCGCCGAGGAAAACAATGGAGCCGCC